GGGGGGGCGGGGGGGGCCGGGGCCAGGAGAGGGGTAAGGGCGCTTTCGGGCGAGAAATTGTCGTGTGGAGGGTTCCAAGAACAGAGGTCTCATGGGATGGGGGTGCCAGGGCTTGGTGGGGGGACCTGGTGGGGGGGGTCCCTCCTGAGCCGGTCCACACCTGCACGCTGCCCTGCAGGTCCTGAGGCGTCCGCCGTGCCGGGCCCCCCGCGAGCCACTCCGTGGGCCGCGGGGCCGTCAGGTGGCGACTCAGAGCGGGAGGCTGGCACTTACTAAAACGACGCGAAGATCGGGACACAATCGGATCGGGATAACTCGAAATCTCTGAGAATCGGCGGGTTTGGAGGATGTATTGGGCGCCGCGGCCGCTCCAGAGCGTTCCGGAACGCTGTGAGAGCGCTCCGGAACGCTCTGGAGCGATTTATCCCGATCCTAGCCCTGTTTTTTACTTACCAGCCTGGAACATGTCCCTATCCCTATGCTGGGCACCTCGTCACGATGCCAATCTTAGGGGTTCCCTCGTTTTTTGAGGGCGAAACCCCAAGATTGTCATCGCCTTTTGGCGTGTCAATCTCAGGGAAAGGGGTACGTTCGAGGCTGGTAAGGCACCCCCAGAAAGCCCAGGGGTAGCCCCGCGCCCCTGATATCAATCCCCTTGGGATAATGCAGGTCGCGTTCGGGGGGGGATGGTCAATTTCTCGCGTGGCGACTCAGAGCGGGAGGCTGGCCCCCACTGAAAGCCCAGGGGCGACCCCGCGCCCTTGTCGGGCCGGGCGAAAGGGGGGGAATTGGGAAAGGGGGGGTTACGAAATTTGCTGCATGCAGCCGGTTTCGGCCTCACCGAGGGGCCCATTCCTCCATACATAGCCGCCTCCGGCGCCGGGAGGCGCCGGGAAAATCAGCTACGTGAGCTGATTCTCAAACCCCCCCTTTGCTATCCCCCCCTTTCGCCCGACCCGACCTTGGTAATAATCCCCGGGGGATGATGCAGGTCGCGTTCGGGGGATGGTCAACTTCTCGCGTGGCGACTCAGAGCGGGTTGCTGGCCCCCATTGAAAGCCCAGGGGTAGCCCCGCGCCCCTGGTAATAATCCCCGGGGGATGATGCAGGTCGCGTTCGGGGGGGATCGTCAACTTCTCGCGTGGCGACTCAGAGCGGGTGGCTGGCCCCCATTGCAAGCCCAGGGGTAGCCCCGCGCCCTTGGTATCAATCCCTGGGGGAGGATGCAGGTCGCGTTCGGGGGGGTCGTCAACTTCTCGCGTGGCGACTCAGAGCGGGAGGCTGGCACTCCTAGAAAGCCCAGGGGTAGCCCCGCGCCCCTGATGTCAATCCCCGTGGGAGGATGCAGGTCGCGTTCGGGGGGGGATGGTCAATTTCTCGCCTGGCGACTCAGAGCGGGAGGCTGGCCCCCATGGAAAGCCCAGGGGTGGCCCCGCGCCCCTGGTAATGATCCCCGGGGGATGATGAAGGTCGCGTTCGGGGGGGATGATCAATCCCTCGTCCCCGTAACTCGAACATATGTACGGGGTGATTTGACAGAAAGCTGACACTGCAGAATTCCATCGCCCAGCCACACACTCGCGAAATGGGAGACATGAAGCGATGATAATCCCATAGCCTTGCCGCACGTGCGTGATTTGGGATAGCTGGAGAGGTTGGATTCCCAGATCCTTGCCGCACGTTCGGGTTTAAGGAACGCTTAATTGTGCAAACCCAGTGGCCCTGCCACACGTTCGTGACATGGGAAAGCTGAAATGGCGAGAATCCCACAGCGCTGCCACACTTTCGTGGCATGGGAAAGCTGAAGTGGTGAGAATCCCATCGCCCTGCAACTTGTGCGTGATTTGTTGCTACTCAACAAGAAGATTGGCAAGTTGGATTCGTACCTTCCACAGCGATCATGGTGTTCGACCTTGCTGCCACTCTCCCCCGACCAACTCTGTTTTGGCCGGGGATAATATTTGTCCATATGGAAAAGGGGATGTGGTCTGCTTCATAATCCGGGGCACAGGGTTATTGAATCGCTTCGCTCATTCCGCCGGCCCGTGATATGGCATCGCTGGTTTTTGTCTGTGTGTTCGTTGCCCATGTTGCGCTCTTGGGGGCGGGTGTCGTTCGGACGCGTTGCGTGGGGAGTTGTGATGGTGAAGCAGTTCCCTGGGGGTCGTCTCTCGATGGGGCGAAATAGAGTCGTCGTCAAGATGCTTCTTTGGGGGGCCTCTTGGGGTCTGTTGAGAGGCCGTTCGGGGGCGCCTGGGAGACATGTTTGAAGCCTTCTGGGGCTTCTTTTGGGCCTCCTGGGAGTCTCCTGGGGCCTCTTGGCGACATCTTGGGGCCTCTTGGAGGCCTCTTGGGGCCTCTTTGGGACCTCCTGGGCGCCTTCTGGGACGGAGGGCTCCATTTTTGAGTTCTCGGTATCCCTCCTGAGTCCCTCTTGGGCCCGTCTTGGGGCCTCTTGGTCCGTCTTGGGCGGCACTTGGGCCGTCTTGAGGGCTCTCTTGGGTCGTTTCGGCGCCGTCTTGGGAGCTTCGTGGGCCGTCTTGGAGCGGTCTTGGGGGCCTCTTGGGCCGTCTTGGAGCGTCCGGAAGCCGAAAAAGCCAGAACACAAAAAACATCGAAAAAAACAATGAAAATCAACGATTTTGGCCTCTTGGGGCTCTCTTCGGAGGCCTCTTGGAAGGCTCTTGGGGCGTCTTGGAGGCCTCTTGGGCTGTCTTGGGGGCCTTTTGGGCCGTCTTGGGGTCATCTTCGGCGTCTTCGAGCGCTCTTTGGGCGTCTCGGGGGCCTCTTGGGCAGTCTTGGGGGCCTCTTGGGGCACTCTGAGCGCGCTCTGGGGAGCCTGAGAGGCCGCACCCAGAAGGAAAACCATCTCTGAGTAGACTTGGTCGGGCGGCGACCGGGCGTTGGTCGGGGTACTTTTCGCCGGGGGACCCCCAGGGGCCGCCCCGCGCGCGCGAACTAGAAATACTGTTAATACTGTTAACCAGTTACCGGAGATCTTAGCACGCCCTGGCCCGTTGGGCCGAGATCTTAGCACGCCCTGGCCCGTTGGGCCGGCGAATTTTGTTCGCCGGTCCCTACCGGAGGCGGAGGAAGAGGAGGAGGACGGGGGAGCAGGAAGATGAGGAGCGTGAGGAGGAGGAGGAGGAGGAGGAGGAGGAGGAAGAGTTGGAGGAGGAGGAGGAGGAGGAGGAGGAGGAGGGGGAGGAGAAGTAGGAGGAGGAGGAAAAGGAGAAGGACGGGGAGCAGGAGGAGCCCCAGGGATGTCAAGAGACGACTTGGAGTAGAAGGATGGGTCTTGGTGGACCAGTGCCCCCCAATACCCTTGACCTTGCGAGCCCGTGTGCCTGAAGCCAACCTGCGCGGTGAGTGCGCTCGGCAGGATCTGTTGGAGACAAGTCCACGCAGGCATGCTGGCAGCAGAGAGGACCTGTGCCCCTCGGGACTCCCTCCGCCAGCCCTCTCGAGCCGCGGGGCTTCCAGCCGCCGCGCTCCCTCGAGAGGGAGGCTGGAGCCTGCCCAGCAGCCCCCGCCCCTCCTGCCTCGCACTCTTCGCCTGCTTCCTCCGGAGGGCGCCGGGCTGTGCGGCCAGCCGGCGCCGCCCGCCGCAACCAATTGGCTGTTCCTGCGCCCTGCGCTGTCGCCGCGTGAGGATAAAACGTGGGCCCGTTGCAAGCCACACCCTTCGGAGCCGCCGAGCTGGCCCTGCTGACCTCCGTCCTTCTGCACCGAGCCGGCCGTGCTCTTTCTTCTTGGTTGGGCCTCTGGAGGCCTTGGCATCGCTCGGACGTGTGCGTTTTTTCCTCGGCGAGGACCATCGAGGAGCATCCTTGATCACTTGGCGAAAGAACCACGCACGAAACCGAACAAAAACACAGGGAATGGACGTCCGAGCGATGGCCAGAGGCCGAAGCCGGGCCAGAAGGCCGGCAAGCACAAGGCTCCCAGCCGGGACAGGAGGACGCGGCGCGCCCGTGGGGGGGGGGGGGTCGGCGCTGAAGGGGGTGGCCTGTTGTTGAGGAGGAGGGTGGCTTTCTAGGTCGGCGGGGAGCCTGCTCGGGGGCCCTCCTGGCTTCCGAAGAGGCCTCGGATGAGCGTCTGGACCCTTGTGAGAAGGCCCCCGCGTTGCAGAAGAACCCCCCCCCGCTTACTTTCGGGGAAGCGTAAGACCCGGGTTTGCCAGGACTCGGGTTCGCCATCGTTTTTTGACGACCGCGCCTCGGATTTTGACGAGGAGGAGTTTCGTGGGATGTCTGCAGCGGGAGGCCTCGTCAAAATGCACGCTCGGCCTCGTCATTTTTTTGACGACCTCGTCGGGGATTTCCGAGTTCCCTGTACCCGGGTCTTACGCCTCCCTGACAGAAGAACCCCCCCCCGCTTCTTTGGAGGGCCGCCACCCTCGCAGCACCCGTTTTGCGCGCTCGCCGCCACGCAACGGGTGCTCCAGGGAGAGGTACAGATGGGCAGGGGTGGAGGAGACATGTTGCCACGAAAGAGGGTGTGGTCCGTGATGGGGGAGATGGTCAGAAGACAGGATGGACATGAGTTCCTGACCAGCTTTTCAGTTTCCGGCCTTTTCGAGGTCCCTGGTGGGCACCAGGGCCGTCGCACAACGACACAGGATCAACACACGATCCTGGGGACAATTGTGGGAACCCAAGGGCTCAATCTTGTTTTTCATCATGCGATTTTGGGCGGAGTGGGAGGGGGTGTATGAAGGGGGAGGACGGAATAGGTAAACAAGAGGAACAAATCAGAAAAGGGGGGCGGCGCTCGGTGAGACAGTCTTGACGGGTTCCCGCGTGAAGTGTTTCGAGCACCATCAGGGCTCTGCAAATCGTCTCCGTTGCAGTCCTCGGTGTCTCTGTGTATATTCGACTACATGTACTTAAAAATCACATGTGCACATATAGTGGAGATCCCGGCCCTGGACTCCTGGGCTGGGACCTCCTTTGTATTTCGGTCCCCAACCCCTCCCTGGGCGACCCCCGGAGGTTCCACTCAAGTCCTAGCCATTATTGCTCGAGGTACTGAGCTGTCTAGCTCGCCACGTGGCATCGTTGCCGCTCTCAGTTTTGTTATCTGATCCGCGGAGCCCAGACCCGCAGCTGCTTTGGCGATGACACTTGCCACTTGGCGAGGCCTGCGGCAGTTTGCGCGCGACGGTGGCCACGAGGGCCCACATTCGCAGGACGCCGCCGAACCTTCCCAGCAGCCTGGCGCGCGAAGGGACACTGCTGCCGAAAACGCGCCTTGTGGTGACACCTGAACGCACCTGCACCGGTCATGGGCGCAGGCGGGACCCAGCAACCACCGGTGTAGGCGTATGGTTGGCGTCGGCCTGGAGGAGAGTGGTGCCGCCCGGCCCTCGCAGCCGCTGGGCGCCCACGCGCCCCTCCTCCTCGAGAACGAGGAGGCAGAGGCAGCGCGCTGTCTCCGCCAGTTGTTTAATGGCCCAGTGTTGCCAGCCAGAACAGCCACAGGGCGCCCAGCGGCCATCCGATGGATCGTCAGTGTCCCTTTCCTTCTTGCATCGACGCTGCCTTCGTCATGAAGGATACGTTCTACCACTGCGACTCCTTCGAGGGGAACCCCGATGCTGGCGCCCGCGCCGCCGCGCGACGGCCCGGCAGCAGCGTCAAGCCTTGGGCCCCCATGCGCGGCCGACGTCGAGGGCGCAGACGCGAGCAGTGCTGTGGCGGTGGCGCGCCGCCGCGACGTGCCGCGGGCAGCGGAGAGCGATGTTCCAGCAGGGGCGCGGGAGCTGACCGTGCCTGAGGACGAGGCCGTGGGGAGCTTGACCCAGCGCGACAACCGCGGACGCTTCGGCTGTTTCACTCGTGGGGCTTCGAGCAGGGGCCTGAGCCAGAGGGCCTCGAGGGAGGCTGACGAGGCGCTCGTGGCGTGGCTGAACGAGCAGTGCTTCGAGGGGGAACCGCTGGCGACCGGCGCCAAGATGCTGGCCGCGCTGGGGCACCTGCTGCCAGGGGTGTCACGGGGGGCCTTGGAGCTTCGGCGCAGCCGGAGAGCCATCCAGGAATTGCGGCGCCACAACCCAACGGCCTGGCGGCTCCCATCGCCGTGGCCTGTCGTGGCGGCGCTGACGAAGGACATGCTGGCGCGGGGACAGCTCGCCGCCGCCGGTGCGACCATGTTCGCGTTCGGGCTGCTGCTGAGGCCGGCGGAGGCGAGGAGGCTGACGGGCGGGTGTTTGGTAGCCCTGATGGCAAGCGGGGCCGCCAGCCGCCGACGATGGTCGATCGTGCTGCACCCTCAGGAGCGAGGGCTGACTTCGAAGGTGGGCGCGCAGGACGAATGCCTAGTGTTCGACAGCCTAGAGTTCGACCTGATCGTGCCGTTGTTCAAGCACCTGCAGAGGAGCGTGGCGGACGGCCATCCGTACTTCGACGTGGGCGCGGGGCAGTGGGTGGAGGCTCTTCGAGCCTCGAGTCGACGGCTGCTGCCCAGCCGCGCCGGGCCGACGCTCTACCAGTTGCGGCCTGGGGGGGCGCCCCGCGACGTGCTGACGGAGTTCCGCGCCACCGAGGGGCCGATGCGACGCGGGCGGCGCACGGCCTGCGATGAGACGGGCGGCCGCGTGAACCAGGCGTTGGGATCGCTGACGGCCGCGGGGCTGGAGCGGGCGCCGGGCGCCGAGCGCGCGCTCGGCGCGCGCCTCTCCGCGACGTTCCACGGCGAGCTGGCCCAAGGGGGTTCGCGCTGTAGGTCTTTCGCGGGGACGGGACGCTTCAGCCACTGTTGGAGGCAGCAGGCGCCGAGGGGCCTGCCCATCTACGAGGTCGACCTGAGCTGCCGCCAGTCGCATGACCTGAGCAGTCGAGCGGCGCAGAGGCTCATCCTGGACTGGACCCGCCCGGGGTGCTGCAAGGCCGTCTGGTTCAGCACACCCTGCTCTACTTCCTCCAGAGCCTGGGGCCCCAGGGCCGGGCCGCCGCGGCTGCGTTCTGACAAGCATCCGCTCGGCCTCGACAACCCGGGCGAGGCGGGCCAGGTCAGAGGCGCGGTGGCCAACGAGCTGGCCCGTTTCTCGACGAGGGAGCTGCTGGCCTGCCTGCAGATGGGCGCGCCAGGCGCGCTCGAGAACCCAGAGTCGCCCCGACTCTGGCGGACGCCGTTCATGCAGGATGCCCTCCGCCGACGGGGGGGGACTGCGACCGATTCTTGCATGGGTGAAGCGCACCCGGAGCTGCGTGGCCCGCGCGCGCCATCGTTCTCGGAATCAGCGCAAGTGCGATGGATCAGGTATGAAGCATGCTGCGCTGCACGGAAAGGGGCTCGACGGAAAGGGAAGCTGTTGCGCCGTGCCCTCGCACCTTGTGAAGCCGTCTTGCCTAGCAGCGCCGCGGTTCAATGATCTCGCGCGCCGTTGCCAATTTAAGTAACAAGTGGGAAGTGCCTCAGTTTGGAAGCTTCGGCCACATGTGAATTCTACTTGTCTGGATTTGCGCTTCTTTCCCCGGATGGCCGGTAGCCAGCCTCTCGCGCGCAGATTGCCCCTCGCAGAGGGGTGGCCATGGCGCGAGTAATGGGGCCCGTGGATCTAAATTGAATTGTTCGTGGATCTGGGGCCACCTGAGACCTCGCAGAGTTGGCCGTAGCTGAAGCGAAGCTTGCACCGCGACGCTGTTCTATCCTCAGCCGTCTGCGTTCAAGTGCCCATCCCACTGTCCATTTCTGCTGCAAATGTTCTCCTGTGCCTGCCCGACTTCGCGACAGTTGGTGGATTTCCGGCTTCGCGTGAATTCTTCTTGTCTTGATGCGCGCGCCTTTCCCCGGCTGGCGGGGGGCCGGCCTCTCGCGCGCAGATTGCCCTTCATAGAGGGGATGGCGCGAGTAGAAGGGGCCCTTCGATATGCGTATCCATATATACATATATATATATGTATATATATATGTGTATATATATATGTGTACATATATATATATATATATATATATATATATATATACATATATATATATACATATATACGCATGTATATATATGTATATACACGTGGGGACGTGGCCGGGGGGGGCCCGCCCAGGGACCTCGGCGGAGCATGGGGGCCGCGGGCTTTACTTTCGATAGGTTTCAAAGGTTTCGGCCACCCAAAGCCACCAGTGCCCCGGGAGACGCGGCCGGGGGGGGTCCCGCCCAGGGACCTCGGCGGCGCACGGCGGGCCCGGGGCCGCACTTCCTTTTTGTTTTTGCACGGTTTCGCCGGCCCGGGGCCGCGAGAGCCCCAGGTCTGCCCCCGCCCGGTGCCCCAGGTCTCCCACAAGCCTCCCAGAGGCCTCCAGGAGAGCTCCACAAAGCTCAAAGATTTTGTTGTCCTATAGTTTTTTCCACGTTTCTCTCCACGCAGCCCTTTCTGCATCCCCACGCTGCGCGGCGGCCCCAGAGGACGCCCAGGCCGTCCCGCTTCGACCCCGGACGCTCCCAACCATGTCTCCAGACGGCTCCGCATGGGAGAGTCGGCGCGCCCCAGTAGGGTCACAGAGCGGCCAGGGGCGCTCCAAGATCCCTGCGACGTCGACGATCACCCCAAGACGGCCCCCCGAGCGACTTCGTCGACGCGGCATGCTTCCAAGATGCCTCCCCAGAGGGCTCTCTGAAGCCTTACTTCTGGTTTTTCTACAGGTTTCTGCGTCTTCATTCATCCAGCTTGTTCTGCATCCCCACGACGCACGGCAGCCCAAGAGGGCGTCCAGACCGATGTGGTTCCGGCCCCTGGGGCTCCCAACCGTGACCCAAGACGACTCTGCCTGGGAGGACCGTCGCCCCCGAGTAGCCCACGAGCCGCCAAAGTCGCTTCCAGGCCTGCGCGACGCCGACGATTGCAGACAACCCCTCGAGCGATTTCGTCGACACGTTATGCTTCCAAGAGGCCTCCCTGGAGGGCTCTCTGAGGCCTTCCTTGTGTTTTTTTTTCCCGCGCGTTCCCATTCATCCAACTTCCCACAAGGGCCCCCAGGGGCTCAACTTCCGACTTGTCCCATGGATTCTTCGGGGTTTCTGGACACCCAGCCTGTTTTGTTTCTCGACGGTGCAAGCTCGCCGCAGAGGTCCCCGAGGCTGCCCCGCTGCAGCCCCAGAGGTTCCCAACCGTGCCCCACGACGGCACCAGGGGGCACCCTGACGGCTGAACCGGCGCCAACGAGGGTTCCGAACGCCCCAACACGGCCGATTAGGGCCACAAGAGAGGCTTGGGGGCCTCTGCGGTCGCCAGGGGCGTCTCGACACTGCTAACGGCGTCTCGGCGCCCCCACGGGTGCGCCCTCCTCTGCGTCGTCGTCGTTCTCCTCCTCCTCCTCCTCCTCCTCCTCCTCCTCCTCCTCCTCCTCCTCCTCCTCCTCCTCCTTTTCCTGCTCCTCCCTTTTCCTTCCCCTGATCATCATGCACCTCCTGCTGCTTCTCCTGCTCCTGTTCCTGCTCCTCCCTCTGCCATTCATCCTCCTACTCATCCTCCTGTTCCTCCCCCCCTGCCCTCCCCCATCACCCCTCCTCCTCGTCCTCCTTCTCCCCCATCCTGCTCTTGCTCGTCCTCCTGCTCCTAGTCCTGCACCCTCTCATTTGTTGCTGCTCCTCCTCCTCCTCTGCCCATTTTCCTCCTCCTCCCCCTCCTGTTCCTCCTCCTCCTGCTCTTCCTTCTCCTGGACGTGGGGTCCTGGGGCCGCACTCCCAGGTCCGAGGAGGGCTCCAGCGATCGTGGAGGATTCCAGGGGCCGAAGATGGGTCCACAGGCGTCAACGCGGGTCCCCGGAGCCAGGGGTCCAAAGCCCAGGGTCCAGAATCCATCAAGGGCGGAAGTGGAGGAGGAGGAGGAGGAGGAGGAGGAGGAGGAGGAAGGGGCCAGGGAGGAGACGAAGTCGAACGAGGATGAGGGCGAGCACGAAGACAAAGGCGAGGAGGAGGCCGACAACGATGACGAACAAAGGGGGGAGTCCGGGCAATCCTCTGTTGGGCCTCGTGTTTCGTTCCCCTTTCCTCTGGGTGGACTTACCGCTCCGGTTCGGTCTGTATCGGTTTGATTCGGCCCCATTCGGTCCACAAGCGATCTTGGTTCGGTTCGGTTCGGGTCTCTACCGCGACCATTCCGGTTCGGTTCGATTCGTCTTGGGGGGGGCGATGGTTCGCGGCCGTTCGATTTTGCCTGGTTCACTCCGGGCAGCTCTGGAGTTCTCCCGCAATGAAACATTGCGACGGAGTTACGAGATCCGCTGTCGATGGCACTGCTTGCCGTGGCATCCTTTAGCGCCATGATGCCGTGACTAGAATCTAAGCGCGCGCGTAGCGCGCTCATGGCTCAAGTGTGTATATGTGCGTGTACGTGTGTATGTATGTGTATACGCATGTATGTATGTATATACGTATTCATTTAAAACGATCGAGAGTGAAATAGAGGAAACAACATAGTGATAGAGAAACTGACATACATATTCTCAGACAGACAGACATGCAACATGAGGAAAAGAGAGACACACACAGACATACACACAGACAACATGAGAGAGAGAGAGAGAGACACACACACACGGACACACACACACAACCACACACACAGACAGACGGACGGACGGACAGACAGACAGGGATGGAGGCATCAGCAGCTGAATGTCTTGGCGTTGCGAGTGGAGCGTGTTAGCCCTGGGCATCGGCGGCAGGTCCCCCTGGCGCGCGCGGGCTGGCGTGAGGGGGGGGGGCTGCTCCCGTCCCGGCCGCTCCCGTCCTCTCTTTCCTCATCCCCCTCCTCGCGCTCTGGGGCAAGGCTCGGGGGGGATAGGTTCAAGGGGGAACGCTCCGACCCCCCCCGTGCATGGATCGCCGATGGGGGCCTGATGGCCCACGCTGTCCAGGGCTGCTATGATTCACAATCGGGAATCGGTGGCCAATCGCCGATGCATCTGTGATGTATCGCCGATTCAAGCTCGAAGTTCCCCCCGCTGAGGTGGTCCCCCCCCTAGCGTCGCCCTTCATCATCCCCCTCCGGCCTGGGGTTCGTCCCAGGGGGCAGATGTGTACTTCAGCGACAACGTGCACCAAGAGGCCGAACGTGGAATGAAACGCCGCGAGACAGGCACAAGCAACACACAATCCACGCGAAGTCTGGGTCTCACTTCAGAAATCGCCCTACAACCTCCCATAGGGGCGACGAGGACCATCCAAGAGGCCCGAGGTCTCGAGCGTCGATCCTCGATCCGCCAGGGGTCTGTGTGCGTCGGTGATCCGGACGTGTGTTGTCCCAATGTGTGTTCGCTCATCCTGTGTCAACGCCCCGAATCATCAGGGCTGGGGGCGATCAGGGGTGACTGCAAATGCGCGCCTCGGGAGCCCAGACTGGAGTTACCCCCGACCGCAGCCTATCCCGAATAATTCGGGCGTCCATTCGTACCGAATCACCAGGGCTGGGGGCGGTCAGGGGCAACTACAGACTCGCGCCTCGGGGGCCCAAACCAGAGTTACCCTGGGCCGCAGTTATCCCGGATAATTCGGGCGTCCAGATGCGTAATTTCGTTGTACCGCCTGCGTTGTATTGAAGGGTTTCGGTGGACAAGCGCACGTGTGTGCTAGCACACGTTATTTCGAGGGCGAAGAAAGGTATGACATACTATGTCCCGCCGTCGGGGACGCCCGTCCAGGGCAGCTGGAAAGCTCACACGCACACACACACACACACATATCACCTTTGGGGCATCAACTTTCCAGCCGCCCTGGGACAGGCGCCCCCATACAGGTCATGTTCTACCGTGTCTCGCCCCCAAATCATGAGGATCATCGAGTTCGACTTTGCCACTGCGTTTCGTGGGCGGTCAGCATTTTTTTCCCGTCGAGCTAGGCCGAAACCTTGTGTAGACTTACCAATTCAAGGCGTGCAAACATGGGGCTAGCGGAGGCTAAGCCTGAGCGAGCGCGACGTCCGCTAGCGCAACGTCGGGCGGTCAACATATCCGTATCACCGGCCTCGCGGGCCGGGCCCCTGGGCCGCGAACCCGCGGATACGGGGCGTCTTGTCCAGGATGCGCCGACGGGAAGTATCCGTGCGACTGCGAGGGCGCGGGTACGGAAACGTTCGCCGCTCATGAGCGTTGCCCCCCCCCTCCCGAGGTCTCCGATTGGCAAGGGCATCGCCTACCGCGCATGCTGCCCCGCCCGCATCGTGCAGCGCGCCGCCATGCGTGCCGGTAGCCCAGCGGCCAGCTCGGCGTTTCTCCTGGGTTCGGAGGAGGGCCAGTCGAGACAACGCCAGGGGCAAGGTCAGGGCGTTCGCACTCGAGGTGTCCGGGCGTTTTCCTTGGCTCCTGTTTTTCATCCTCGGGAGGCGTGCGTCCTTTCTGGGCTCCCTACAGTGCCGTTTTTCATACACGCTCCGCGTGCGGGTCATGTATGAAACGTGCAGGGGTTTGGTATGAAAAGCAACGATGAGTTCATGCATATATTGCATCATACATGCGTCATGATTAAAACATCAGTTTTTTATGTTTTGTATTTCTTATATATATATATATCTATATATAAGAAAAACTATGTATTAACAATTGCCCTGTCTCCCGGGAGGGGTCGGGCAGCCGGTCGTGAGCGGGCCCGGCCTGGGCGTGGCGGCCGCCGTTGTGTCTCCCGGGGGGGCCACAGGCGTCGACCGCCGGGCGGGGCGCCCGCTGCAGGTTCCTGGCGCGCGCAGCGGCAGGGCCTGCCCGCGCCCTCGCCCGCGAGCGGCGGCCCCGGATGCTCTAGGCCTCCTCGATGGGGTCCGAGTAGATGGGGTCGGAGGGTCGCGCCGCATCGCCGATGCATCGGCGATGCGGTTCGATGCGGAGTCCGATGTTGTCCACGCCGACTTCGGCGATGCATCGCCGACGTTCCCGACACATCGCCGATGCATCGCCGATGCATCGGCGATGTATCGGCGATGCGGCGCGGTCCTTCGACCCCATCTACTCCGAGCCCATCTAGGAGTCCTCCACGGATGCCCCGAGAGCTCGGAGGTGGATAGACCTCCTACCCTGACACGTCGATGAGGGAATTGGCCGTTTTCGGTTCGCGAGGGGGCGTCGCGGCCGTCCTTTTTGCGGGTCCGGGTCCGTCGGTTTCGGTCCCGGGCCGTTTTAGGTTTGCTAAAGGGAGGCTTGTCCACCGCCGAAGAGCGCCCTCGCGCGGGTGTCGGGCCGCTCGCAGCAGGTCCCTGGCGAAAAGCAGGTGCGCATCCGCTGCCTCGCGGGCTGGGTCCCTATGGGCCGCGACCCCGTGCCTTGGCATCGCTCGGACGTGTGCCTTTTTTCTTCGGCGAGGGCCACCGAGGAGCATCCTTGATCATTTGGCGAAAAAAAAAAACCACGCACGAAGCCAGAAAAAAAACACAGGGAATGGACGTCCGAGCGATGGCGAGGGCAGGGCCTGCCCGTGCCCTCGCCCGCGAGCGGCGGCCCCGGGTGCCCCGAGAGCTCGGAGGCCGGGAGCCTCGAGGCGGGGGCCAATGCAAACGCAGGATCCTGCAGCGCCAGGGTCGCATTGACCCGGGCTTGGGCGCAGGATCCTGCAGGGTCTTGCAGGATCCTTCGCATGGACCCGGGTTCGGGTGCAGGGTCTTGCAGGGTCTTGCAGGATTTTACAAGGCCTGACTGACCCAGGCGGTCTGGATTGACCCGGGTCGGAAGATCCCCGAGGAGGTGGATAGCCCTCCCACCCTGACACGTCGATCAGGGAATTGGCCGTGTTCGGTTCGCGAGGGGGCGTCGCGGCCGCCCTTTTTGCGGGGCCAGGTCCGTCGGTTTCGGTCCCGGGCCGTTTGCATTGGGGGGAGGTTTATTGAAGGGAGGTTTGTCCACCGCCGAAGAGCGCCTTCGCGCGGGTGTCGGGCCGCTCGCAGCAGGTCCCGGGCGAAAAGCAGGTGCGCATCCGCTGCCTCGCGGGCTGGGCCCCAATGGGTCGGGGGTGGACAGAACCCCCAACAGTGACACGTCGATTAGTGAATTGTCCGTTTTCGGTTCTCGAGATGGCGCCGTGGCCGTTATTTTCCAGGCTGGCGCACGCCAGTTTTGGGCCCGAGGTCGTTGTCACTAAGCCACGTTTTACGAAAGGGGGGTCTGTCCATCCCCGAAGGGGCCGCGGCCCCGCGGGTGCGGGGGCGTCCCGTCGCGGCTGCCCCGCCCCGGAGTGCAGGCTGCGAGGGCGCGGCGCGTGGACGGACGTGCGCGGCGCTCGTGGGCAGGGCGGGGACTCGCGGGCGCAACCCCAGGTACCCTGACCTTCCAGAGAGCTAGTTTTTTGAGCACTGGAGGCCTAAAAACCTAAACAACTGAGCGAAACGGGCCTAAAACCAAGACGTAGAATAGCTTTGGGACAGGTCTTTCAGTCGCGTGCTATTTTTGTTAGCCCTCTTGGAAGGTCAGGGGAGGCTCTCTTCGAGCGCCCACCTTAATCGAGGATGGGCGCCGCATCTCCATCGTGTATCCCCGGAAATGTCTCCGATGTCCTTGTCCGTTCCTTGGCATCGCTCGGACGTGTGCATTTTTTCGGCGAGGACCATCGAGGAGCATCCTTGATCGTTTGGCGAAAAAGCCACGCACGAGACCGAAACAAAACAGGAAATGGACGTCCGAGCGATGGCCAGCAGGAGGCTCTATCCGAACGCTCACCTTATCGAGGATGGGCGCGGCCTCTCCGTCGTGTATCCCCGGATCTGTCTCCGATGTCCTTGTCCGTTCGGAGTCCCACAGAGGGCCAGGGATTGGGACCACCCCCGTGACTGCACTATCCGGGGGTCGTGGCAAGACAAGGCTACATCGACAGAGTAATCGGCACGATGAGCGGTGGTTGAATGCATCGCCATGTGGCAGAACTGAGGGCACTGAGGCGCCACCGCGCCACCTACCTCGGAACGGCGGTGTGGATCACTAGCATTGGGAGGTGCTCACTTCAGGCATGTAACAAAGCACGGCAGCGATGCGCCTAAGGATACATCCGCGCCGCTGATGCTGCCAGCCGTCTTCCGTGCACAACACACATGTATAAGATGCACTGGTGGCAAATCATGGGAGCCCAATATACCCTCTAAATTCCGTCTTCAGCGCCGATGAGCGTCGATCAGCATTTGGAGTCGATGAGATAGCGCCGATCTAGCGTCGGATAGCGTCGATGACCGTCGATGTAGCGTCGATTAGCGTTGACTAGCGTGGATTTAGCGTCGGTCAGCGTCGATTCGCAAGAGCTGACAAGATGATATGGGAGGCTCCCATGAGTTGCCACCGAAATATGCGACCGATTCTGGATGCAAGGACAATCTTCATCCCACGTCTTGGGCATCAGCGGCCTCCGGGCCGATGGGGCGCGCCGCTCAGTCGTGCACATCCTCGGAGGCTCCAACGAGGGTGACCACACCGTGTGGTGAGTCAGAGGGGGATTTGGGGTGACTGCGCATTGTTGGCACGGAGGTCGATCTCTGAGGATGTCTCGGGCGACTGGGGCCTCCAGGGTCCCAAAACCGTGCGGTGACGGACGAGGTCACCACGCGGTCTGTCACCCTACCGGTTTGGGACCCTCAAGTTCGCCTCCATGTACAACACACAAACACAAACACACACACACACACAAACACACACACACACACACGGACACGTGTGCAAGATATGTTCGAAAGCCGAGGCACGAGCACTGGCAGTCCTCCTCCCACGCCGTCCACATCAGCTGCCTCGGGCCCGACAGGAGCGCGCCGTCCGATCAGGGCCGCGAGCTGCGCACAGACAGCTCCCCCCCAGGTACCCTGACCTTCCAGAGAGCTATTGTTTAGCACTGGAGGCCTAAAAACCTAAACAACTGAGCGAAACAGCCTAAAACGAAGACGTAGAATAGCTTTGGGATAGGTCTTTAAGTCGCGGGCTATTTGTTTGCCCTCTTGGAAGGTCAGGGTAGTCCCGTGGGCCTCCAGGTACCCCCCCCCCGAGCAGCCCGGGGCGGCCTCGACGCCGCAGGCCTGGGGCGCGGAGGGCTGCGGAAGTCGGTGGCTCAACGAGGGGGAGTCCTGAGGGATGCTCCTCCTCCTCCTCCTCCTCCTCCTCCTCCTCCTCCTCCTCCTCCTCCTCATCCTCATCCTCATCCTCATCCTCCTCCTCTTCCTGAGGGCGAGGAGCCCCAGGCAGCGCAGCTCCGCCCCCCGGCTCTCGGGGCCCCAGCCTCGAGCCACCGATGGGGGCCGCCCCGGGCCACCCTCGGCGGGCCTGCCGGGGCCAGCCTGAGCCACCTGGGGGGGGGGGGGGGGGGGGCGCGGGAGGCTCCCCGGGCCTCCTCCTCCTCCTCCTCCTCCTCCTCCTCCTCCTCCCCCTCCTCCTCCTCCTCCTCCTCCTCCTCTCTCCTCCTCCTTCCTCCTCCTCCTCCTCCTCCTCCTCCCTCCTCCCCCTCCCCCTCCCCTCCCCCCTCCCCCTCCCCCCCCCCCCCTCCTCCTCCTCCTCCCCCCCCCCTCCTCCTGCTCTCCTCCTCCTCCTCCTCTCCGTCGGCGGGCGGCCCGGGGGGGGCGCCGGGGCGCCACCGCGGCGCCGGCCTCGCCGAGGTGCGGTCCCTGTGCGCCCAGGAGTTCCCCTGGCTGAGGGAGGAGGAGCCCCTTGCGGGGGCCGAGGGGGGGGGAGGGAGGCACGGGGAGCCGACGGGGGGGAGGGGGAGGGCGCGGGGGCCGAGGGGAGGGGGGGAGGCCTGTCACGGCGCGGGCCCGCAGCACCACGGGGCACCACGGGGGGAGGGGAGCGGATCGGATCCGGATCGCATCTATTCGGCAGGGCAGATGGGAACGTCGAGAAACTCCGAGGACGAGGGGGGGAGGAGGGGGGGAGGAGGGGAGGAGAAGGAGGGGAGAAGCAGGGGAGGAGGGTGAGGGTGAGGTGGAGGGGGAGTGAGGACGAGGAGGGGGGGAGGGAGGGGGGGAGGTGGGGAGGAGGGGTGCAGCAGGGGGGGAGGACGAGGATTCCGATTTTTTCTTGGTGCCTTCTCGGCGGGAGGCTGGGAGCAGGGGCGGGGTGGATCGGGAGCTGCCCCCGGGGGTGGCGCGGGGCTGGGAGGTTGGGAACCGCTGGGGCCGAGAGGAGGGGGGCATCTCTCGGACGAGAGATGGGGTGGAGGTTCCCTGTTGTCAGACGTTTTCGTCTGCTCGGCGGCGTTGCAGCTCCGGGGTGCCTTCCAGCGGCTGCGCTTCGCCCAGCTCCGCGGGTGCCTGGATCGTCCCAAACGGCCGCCAGAGACCCGTGCCATGGCCCGAAATTGTCGGGGGTGGACAGACCTCCTACCCTGACACGTCGATTAAGGAATTGGCCGTTTTCGGTTCGCGAGAGGGCGTCGCGTTCCAGGTCCAAGTCCGTCGGTTTCGGTCCCGGGCCGTTTTCACTAAGGTGAGGTTTACTAAAGGGAGGTTTGTCCACCGCCGAAATTGGATGATGAGGATCCTTTTGGGGGGGGGGGGCTCAGCGGGGAGCGCATCGATCCCCAATCGCTCACTCCTCGTGGATCGATGATGAGGATCCTTTTGGGGGGGGGGCTCAGCGGGGAGCGCATCGATCCCCAATCGCCCACTCCTCGTCGATCGTCGAGAAGGGCCCGCTGGCCCCTCCTGCCCAGGACCGTGCGGCTTTGCTGTCGGGGGCCCACCGCCGGTCTCGATCGAGTCTTGATCGGGAGGAGGAGGGAGGAGGAGGGAGGAAGGGGGAGAGAGGAGGGAGGAGGAGGGAGGAGGAGGAGGGAGAGGAGAGGAAAGAGGAGGAGGAGGAGGAGGAGGAGGAGGAGGAGGAGGGGAGCCGGTCCCCCCCGAAAGCTGGCCCTCCAGGGAGGAGGACTTCGGCTCGTTTGGGGCTCCTCTCCTGGCAGGAGGCTGGTTGGAGAAGCGGGGTGGAGGGAGGAGGAGGGAGGAGGGGGGAGGAGGAGGAGGAGGAGGAGGAGGAGGAGGAGGAGGAGGAGGAGGAGGAGGAGGAGGGAAAAGGAGGGAGGAGGCGGAGGGGCAACGAGGCAGTCGCTCGGAGGATTTGATCCCTGCGGGGGTGGGAGGGTCGGGCCGGACGGAAGGGGGGGACTGGGAAAGGGGGGGTACGAAATGTGCTGCGTGCAGCTGGTTTCGGCTTCACCGAGGGGCCCATTCCTCGATACATAGCCGCCCCCGGCGCCGGGAGGCGCCGGGAAAATCAGCGACGTGAGTTGATTCTCCCCCCCCCCCTTTGCTATCCCCCCCTTCCGCCCGACCCGAGAGGAGGGGGGTGGCGTCGAGGGTGCAGGATGCGCGAGCGTGGGCAGCTGGTCGGCCCCTGGAGGCCGAGGAGGAGAAGGAGGGAGGAGCCGATCGGGGCGGGGAGGGTGCGAGGTCTGCTGCGTGCAGCTGGCTTTCAGTCGGGCGTGTCCCTCTACAGGAGGAATCTTCAGAAATAGTCAAAAACCTAGTCTGGGGAAGCTCTTTTGACTATTTTTGAGCATTCGGGTGGCATGCTCGGGGTATTTTTAGTTTTTCGTTCAGAATCCGCCTGTAGGAGGACATGCCCGGCCTAAAGCTGGCTTGCGACTCCACCACCAGGCACCCCCTCGACAGACGGCCGCCTCCGGCGCAGTGGGGTGCCCGGGGGGGAGGCGGATTCTGGGCGGCTGATGCCTCCGTCGGCGGGAGGTCGGGGTGAGGGGGGGAAAAAGAGGACGAGGAGAGAGATGGGCGATGCAAGCTCTGTTCCCCGAGCTCGGAACGCGGGGAGGACCCGGGATCGAGGTCTGCACGCGATCTTCGAGCAAGAGGAGACGGGACGGCGACGCGGAAGGGAAGGCGGGCGCCCCCTCCGCGCCCCCCGTTTCGCTTTCCGCGCGCGCGGCAGCCGCGGAGGACGTGAGGATAGACGTGGAGTCCGTCAGGCACGACCCCGACGGGCCCGGGGACGCTCACATCACCTACGCGCCCCCCTCGGGACTGACGCCCCGGGGAGCGGAGGAGGAAAAGGTTCCTGCGCGCAAGGAGCCCGCACGCGCACACGAGGCCACCATGGTTTCGATAGTACGCATTGTGCGAGCATTCCGAATGCTCGCACAATGCGTACTATGTTTGGTTATTGTTTGGTTATGTGTTGGTCATTGTTTGATTATTGTTTGGTTTTTGTTGGTAGCGAATTCTTGGTTTGATTGGTCGAAATCTCCCTCCGAGGGCGATGGGGCTCCGCAAAGCATTCGTATCACGTGGTTGGTCTCGTGGATTGTGGGGCAGTGCCTATGTACGTGGTTGGGCGCGTACGTCTTCCGTGGGTTCCCTACAGCTACGGATGCCGCTGCCCGTCCGTCGTCTCCACGACTCGATTCGCTCCGAAATCTCGGTCGGAACTCACCCCGGGAAAGGTCTGACGAGTGGAGGATCGGTTTTTTTTGCGCGCTGTCGGCCCACTTTCGTCTTGCGGGGGCCTCCAGGAATCCCCGGAGAGCCCCGAGGGGATATCTCGAGACCTCCTGGGGGGGGGGAGGTCCTGTGGTCTCTGGTCGTAGTTTCTGGGCGTGGCCCGTGGTCTCGGGTTGTGTTCTGTTCTCGTGGCACGTGATCTCGGGGCTCTTGACTAGTATAATAGATTGCGTCTCTTACCCAGCGCGATCAGATCCATCCACCGAACAGCCTTACGATCATACACGTGCACTCATTCACATCATCGCGGCGCGGTCATAGTGCCTTCCCCTTTTACGTGTTGTCTTGACCCGTCGCATCAACCATGCAGTCAGTGAACGCTCATCACCCATACCAGTAGCAGTGACACAGGTGATCGATTGAGACTTGGTGTTGACCTCCAGTTGTTCGCCAAACTCATTCGGAAGGGCATGCGCATATCTCGATCAAGGTGATGAGCTCATCCTCGCATATCGATAACAGTGTTGATGAGCACTGGCGCGATCAGAACATTGGTCTGGATTACCTTACGAATGCTGGTATGATTTTGACGAGCTCGATGTCGAAGTGCTTGGGAAGCCAAAGATGTTGAATGACGACGTCTTGCGTTTGCGCGCAAGCCTGCAAATGTGTCCCAGATTGTGTGTGAGAGGTTCACCAGGGGTCCGCATCGTAAGCCAGGTAACGTTCACGATGTAGTATCATTGACCAGGGATCAAGTTGGCGCCACGTCGGGTTGCTTTTCGGGAGAGGATATTCCAATTCGCAGATCGGACTTGGTGTCAACCGCAACGTATGAAGTAGACAGATGGTCGTGCCAAAGCTGGATCGGGTTGCGCGCAGAGTTGTATCAGTTTACCAGTAGCAGCATGGACGTGTTGTCCAGAACGTGTATGGAACACGAGACTGGTCGATATGTGTGGACCAGGTCCAGTCCTTCTTATGGTGCACAACATTTTAAGCATAACCCTTCCTCTGGTGTACATAAGCATCGTGCATTATACCATACACGATACGATAGTTGCTTAGGGTCGTCTGCAGCCAAGCGGATAAGTCTTGACGCTTCGCGTGTCTCCATTTGCCCATCCAAGAACAGACACCAGGCGAGTTGCCTTGATCAGGGATGTGTAGTCACCTGGTTGAGTGGTTGCCTCTCGTTGCCTGCTGTGCCTGTATTACGTCGTGCGTGTTCGAGGTCGCCTTGGTAAAGTGGTTGGTTCTCATTACTCACCATCGTGCGCTGATGTGGGCTCGCGACCAGCCACGACCTGCGCGCTGGTCATCCAAGAGGCAGGGCGCGACGACAGGCAACCCCACAATCAAGGCAACCACGAAAAACACTAATCGACGACAACAACGACGACCACGACGACAATGACGACGCCGACAGAAATCAAGATCAATATCGTTGCGATCGTTCGCTCTGGGATCATCTTGGAAGCCTCTTGGGGCCATCTTGTTTGCCTCTTGGGCCTTCTGGAGCTCTCTCGGGGCCCTCTTGGGGCTCTCTTGGAGGCCTTGGGGAGCACAACAGAGGGATTCGCCGATTTCGACCTCCCTGTCGGGGCTCGAACAATCGCCTGTGGGGACCCTCTTGGGCCGCTCTTGGGGCGGCCTTGGTAGCTCATGAGGTCTTGGGGCACTCCTCGGTGGGTGGCGACGGAGGCCATCGTGGAGCCACCTTGAGGCCTCGAGAGCCCATCGGAAGAGAAAGGGTGAGAAGGCAATCACATGGACTGCGACGCAGTTGGTTGAATGATGTTTGCCTCCTGGAGGGCCCCGTGGGAGGCTCGGAGGGTACTTCGGGCCGTCCGGGGGCGATGTTGAGGGCTCTTGGAGACATTTTTGATGCTATCTTGGACCATCTTGGGACATAATGAGCGATCTTGGAGGCCATCTTGGGCTCTCAGGGGCCCTCTTTGAGCCACCTGGGTCCAGAAGGACCCTCTCCTCTGATGGGGAACCCCCCGCCCCGAAGTGAAGGGGGGGGGTTGCAGCACGAGCTCCCTGGGCCTTCCACCCTTCAACGGCTGGGTTGGGATCTCAAGACGAGTGCGCGCGGCGCTGGGGCGAGAGCCGCAGGTTCCCAGACGAGCCCGCGAAGGTGCGCGTCGCTGGAGCGGGAGGTCAGAATCCTTGCAACACGCTGAGGCGCTTTGGTGTAATGATCCAGGCCTCGGAACAAATTTGCGAACACTCGTGCCACATTCATCCGTCAACGCCTCCCCCTCCCCCCACTGTTCAAAGTTGGCGGTGGGTCTGATGAGATGCACTTCGACCGCAGTCTCCCCCGCGAGTGCCATCATTGAGTGTGGGGGGGAGGGGGAGTGTTCAGTAATTGTTTCCCTCTACCGTCGTAAAGCTGTGGGGGAGGGTCAGCGAACACGTCTGGTGGCGCGACGGGGGGAAGCTGCTCCGAGGACGAGAGGGAAGAGGAGGAAGAGGAGGGGCGAAGAGGCCGAGGCGGAAGAGAGAGGCGGGGAGGCGGGAAGGGGGCAGTGGAGGCAGAGGCGAGGAGGCGGAGCAGGAAGGTGCCAGAGAAGGAAGAGGCGACGGCGGAGGAAGAGGGGAGGCTGGAGGCAGAGGTGGGGGCGAGGAGGAGGAGGAGGAGGAGGAGGAGCTTCACTGTTGCTGCTGCTGCTCCTCCGCTCCCCCCCGGCAGTGATCCAATCGGTCTCTTGCGCGGGCCCTTCGGTCGGCTGCGCGCCGATGTCGGGGTGCCTGCGGGGACTGCGCGGCGTCGTCGTGGGCCACTGGCCACATTAGATTGTTTGGGGGCTGCTAAGAGGTTGTGCTCCTCGTCGGTTCAGCAGCCGAGCAGGCGATGAACAGCAGCAGACGAACATCCACGAGCCCTATCCTGGCCTTACCCCCCCCCCCTCGTCATCATTGTCCTCCTTTGCCTGCTCAGTTTCCTCCCGTCTCGTGTTCACCATCATCGTTGTCCTTGTTCTTATCTTCTCACCCTTTCTCCTCTACTCCTGCCGCTCGTCCTCCACTTCGGCCTTGCCTCCCTTTGGTGCACACATCACCACTCCTCCTTCCCTACGCTCCCTGCGGGCAGCTCGCCTTTTAGGCCAGTCTCCTGCTTGTCCTGCCAATCATCCCCGTCCGCCACCGTCTTCACCGCCCCTTCGCCCCACAGGCGCCGGTGGGTCGCAGGCGCGGGGCTGTCCTGGGAGTTGCGTCGCGCCACTGTGTAGCAGAACTCCCTGCTGCTGCAATTTTCGCGAGTTAATCAACATCTCAGCTGGACCTCAGAGAGGACCCCATGCTACATCACCGCCGCCTCCCCCTTTCCTCTTCATCCCCCCTTTTGTCCTCTCTCCGCATCCTCGCCCATCCTTCCTCACTTATCCTGCTGGCTCTCTTTCCAGCTCCTTCCCGTCCTCGCCCTTCTCCGTCCATCTTCTCCTCTCTTCTCCTCATCATCATTCTCACGTCTCTCCCAATCCCCCTCCGCCTCTCTTCCGTCTCCTCCCCCCTTCTCCTGATACGCTCGCCTCCTCCCCCCACCAATCCTCCCTCCATCCTCTTCATCCCTCTTCCCTCCCTCCTCCCTCCCTCCTCCACCCTCTGACCCCCTTCTGAGGTGCCGCAGTACCTATTCTACATCGTGGTGGAGCTGCTGAAGAACAGCGCCCGGGCCACGGTCCTCACGGCGAGCGACTCCCGACGCCCGTTCGAGAGGAGGCAGTGCCGCAGATCGTCGTCGCCGTCCTCGCGAGGTTCGAGGTTCGAGGACGGCTTTCCAATGTCTCGGCCTCGATGGGAGCTCCTCTCTGGCCCCAGATGTCTTCGAAGGCGGTCGTGGAACCACGAATGGTTGGAGGACGGTTTGCTATGTCTCGTCTGCTGGGGGGCCCGTTCGAAGCCCCGGTGGCTTCCGAGAGCGGTCTGGAGCGAACGAATGTGTCCCTTGGGAAGGGGGAGATTTTTGAGGTCGACGTTATCATCGCCCCTGCTCGTCGTCGAGGTCGCCGTCGTCGTCGTCATCGTCGTCGAGGTTTCTGTTTGTTCGGCATCGTCGTCGTCGTCGAGATAATCGTTTAGGCGGCTGTTGTCGGCGTCGTCGTCGTCGATTTATATTGTCGTCGTAGTCGAGATGTCGTCGGCGTCGGCGGCGTCGTCGTCCGCGTCGTCAGATTTCGAGGCTGAATGGAGGGCCAAGATTGAGGATATCCGAGTTTCGATGTGCCTGGGCATTTTTACGGTGCTCTGGAGCTCCAGACGTTTTTTCGTCGCCGCGGCAATTGTATCCTTAGGACTTGGCCAGAACGCACCTTCTTAGTCTTGGGTGGGGGCCGATTTCCCCCCCCCACAGGGGGCATAGGCATCTGACGGCTCACAAAATACGGACGGCCTATTTTGGTCATCCGCATCCTTGGACCGTGACAGGGGAGGCCGTTGCGTTGGTCCTTCATAGAAGCCTCAGAGGGTCCCAATCTTTTTGCGGTGTTGGAGATTTCGTCTGGATTTCGTTGGATTTGGTCGACACCTGGACGACATCTAAACGAACGGATGAAGCAGGCTGGTCGGAATCTGGACGAAATCTGGTCGAAATCACGTTTACGCTAGGGCGGTGGAGGTCTACAGAGGCTCCCATGAAGGCTCACCCAGAGGCCGGTGCCGGCCCCACCTGCAGACGAGCAGTCGGCCCTCGGAGGAGAGTGTTTTGTGTTTTCTGGGCCAAGACGCGTGTCATGTCCACTATGTCCCCCCCTTCCCCCCCCCCCCGGTAGGCAACATTGATACTTCCCCCGCGACCACTTTCTTACCCCTGTGGGATTATTCTCCGTGGGACTTGGTCAACGCTCTTCCCCCCACAAGGTCTTCCCCGGCACTGCCGCAGTGCGTCCCGCACCGCAGTCTGTCATGGTGGGGGGCGGGGGCGTGACATTATGCCCCCCCCCCCCGCCGCCCTCGCGCACCGCGCCTTCGAGAGGGGTCGAGAGTTTCAGGGTCTGGAGGCCACTGATGTGAGGCTGGGCTTGTCCACATCCACCGGCTGATGCTCCCGACGTTCATGGACATCGGCAGGTGGTGGATTTATCCCGTGGGCCCAACTCTCTCTCTCTCTCTCTCCTTCTCTCTCTCTCTCTCTCTCTTTCTTTCTTTCTTTCTTTCTCTCTCTCTCTCTCTCTATATATAGATATGTATGTGTAAGTGTTCATATTTTTGTACGAGACTGCATTCGCGCTTTGCGCCATGCACCTTGGTCCTTTAAGTGTGGCATGCCGGCGGAATGGCGGGAAGATTAAAGAGACATTTGAGCGATAATTATTTGTTTGTTTTGGTATCGCCGTTATACTTGTGATTCGTTATCTGCTCTCCATGTTTGTTCCCTCATTCTTGCATGTTTTTTGTGGAGGCTTGGGGAGCTCGCGACCCAGCCAGACCCCGCCGCACCCCGAGTCAAGTCAGATCCATGTTGCACGTGTGCGTTTCTCTCTCTCTCTATGTATATGTATGTGTGTGCTTTGTATGTCTATGTATGTATAGGTATGTATGTAGACGCTCAGGCATACACCGTTATCCGTTGTGTCAGCACGGCTATTTCAATATCCACCGACCCCTGGGGTCCAGGATGCCGGTTCCCGGGCGGCAGAGGAATCCACGCTTCGCAAATGATTCAACAACCATCGAGCCGCTGGCTGTGTGTGTTCCCTTCCACCCTCATCCTCAAGGGGCAACGTTAGGGGTGATGGGCTAAGGTGGTACGCATCGACCCCCAATCGCCCGTTCATCGCTAATAGGGGCCCACTTGCCCGCCCCGCCTGGGAACGTGCGGACTCGCTATAAAGAGCATAGTACCGATCTCTCGGCGATACATCTCCGATTCCCCCCTGAGATGGTTTCCCCCCAACGTCCCCCCTCAATCAGGCTGCGCCCTTTCCCGCCGCCCCCCCCCCCCCCAAAGCTCATCATGGGAACGAATCCCAGACGAGTTGCCCTGATCACCAAAATTGTTGCAGCACGCGGTCCAGGAGTTGCGGAACTGTTTCGAAGGGTGCAGGACGGGAGAAGGAGGAGGAGGAGGAGGAGGAGGAGGAGGAGGAGGAAAAGGGGATGAGCAAGAAGACGCGGCGGAGGAGGAAGAGGAGGAGGCGATCAAGCAAAAGGACGAGGAATTTGATTGAATGCGCGCCTACTCGAATTAATGTGAACCTTCGGTGGGATGAGGGAGAGATAACAAGGAGGATGAGAACACACTTGCGGGGAATAATGCAGGAGTACAGACAGAAAGGTGCAGGATGAGAGTAAGAGGAGGAGGAAAGGTAGGAACAGGAGTGGATGGGGAGGAGGACTTGGAGGAGGAACAGGACGAGGAGAATGAGGAAGAAGAAAAGATACGTGTTGGCGCCATCTTGAGGTTGTTTGATGGGTCTTGGGGCCCTCCTGGGGCCATCGCGCAAGCCATGGGAGACATAGGAGGGCGGCGTCCATCCTGGAAGTCCCGCGTCTAGGATGCGGAAAAATAACCGCGGGGGCGGTCTTGCATGCTTCTTGTAGGATCTTTGAGCTGTCGTTTGGATTCCTCCTGGCTTCTCTGGGGCCATATTATTGAACTTTGGGAGCCTCGGAGACCCATCTGAAGCGAAAGCGCGTGGCGGCAGACATTGATGAACGTCCCGTCGGTTGTTGAAGCATTGGGGCCTCTCAGATGGTTCCGTCAGGAATCTCGCGGCCTATTGGAGCCTTTTTGTGGCCGTCTTGGGACAGTTTCGGGATTCTGTCGGAGGCTGTGTGGAGCCATGTTCGGCTATATTTGGCAATCTTGGAGGCCGTCTGGGGGCATCGGGGGGCCGTCTTGTAGCCATCTGGGGCGATCGTGGGACGATGCCACCTCCCGCTCGCCGTCCCCACCCCTTCTCAGAACACAAGGAGGGGGCAAGGGGGAGGTGTAAGAACCTTGGAAGAGGGAAGAGAAGGCGCCATACGGCGCCTTAGACCAGCTGCGTCCAGAGGGCTGGCTGGACTCCGTGAAGGAACTTTTGTGGAGAGACTTTGGATCGGAAGGGCGTATCGTAGCAGATTCCAAGCAGCTTGGGTCAACATTGTATAGTGCTTTCACCCCCCGGTAACCTACAATCGCTCCTGTGCTGGGTCCTCCGGCTGGAGTCTCTCTGCAAGGGGCGAGTGACATCCGTCCAGCTGCATTCAGATCGGTTGTATGGCCGCACGCGCTGCGAACACGCCTTTCCCCCCTCGATCGCAGTTTGTTTCAAGCTGGGCACGATTCTTCCTCCTCCTCCTGCTCCTCCTCCTCCCCCCCGCCGCGCCCCATGCCCCGCGTCATCTCCACGGCGGACGAGGACGAGTTCCCCGTCTACGGCCCTCAGGCCGTCAGCGCCGCCGCGCCGCTCTGCGACCCGGTGGGCCTGAGCCCGGCGGACCGCTACGCGGTCCTGCACGGGTGCCTGGAGGAGCTGGCCCGCCGCGTGCAGCGCGACGGCCCTTCGGGGCCGCGGGGGCCCCGCGGCTGCTGGCGGCTGGCGCTGCGCCGCGCGGCCGCCGGCGGCCGCCTCGCCGCCCGCGCCCCCGAGGGCCTCCTGGCCGGGGCGATCCGGAGCTTCGACGAGGGCCTGCCCCCGAACGCGCGGCACCCCGTGTGGGGCGACTTCCGAGCGCGCGCCGTGTGGGGCATGTTCTCGGGCCGCGACACGCGCGCCGCAGGGCGGCGGTGCGAAGGTGGGGTCCCGAGGGGCGGGGGGCCCGAGGACGAGGGGCCCCAAGTCGGACGGGGCTGATGTCGGGAGACTCTTCATGGGGGGGATCCCATGGGGGGATAGGATCCCAGGGGGGGGGGATCCCATAGAATCCCCTGGGGATCCCATAGAATCCCCTGGAGGATCCCATGGAGAGTCTCCCGATGATGGGCACGTTATCCACCACCAACACCAGCAGTTGGAGGGGGAGGGGGTCCTCCTCCTTCTCCTCCTCCTCCCCCTCCTCCTCCTCCTCCTCCTCCTCCTCCTCCTCCTCCTCCTCCTCCGTCCCCCCATCCAACTTTTGGTGGTGGCGGTGGAGAACAGGCGAAGCAGGGGCCAACATGACGAGGAGGCATCCCTCCCAGAGCGTTCCGGGACCACCTCAGGGCGTTCCGCAGCGATTTGGGAAGGCCGCGCGGCGCCCTGGACATTCCCCAGAGCCGCCAGATCTCAGGGACTCCCGATTCATCCTCACCCGAACTTCTCCTCGAAGCAGAACCAACTGCACAAACAGAAGCTTCCGACAGTCCGCGCGGATCTCTTGAATCGGAGCTGGACACCCTGGCGGCGCCTCCCGCGCCGCACCGTCCGGTCCAGCTTAGACCCAAGAGATTTGCGCGGATCGTCGAAACCATGTTTATGCTGTATTTTCTGGCTCTTCCAAACACGGTGAATTCTGTTTGGATCCCCCCCTCGCATCCCTATGACTCCATGCCTCAGGGCCCCATCTTCGAACCGCCGAGTATGGGGGCGCGGTGTGGTCAGCGCGCAGACGCCGACCACGTTTGCCTTGCTGCTGCGTGAGATCATGGGGAGCATCACCCCGTCCTGCATCCGCTGGACGAAGAGCGAGAGGCCGAGGGAGTTAAACCTGCGCGGAAAGATCAACTTTCGGAGGTCCGCGTGGGTTTCTTGGATTTGCGCTGGGGGTCCTCCCTGACGGCGCCCCTGGCGCTGCCACAATGTACGCTCCCCGCGCCAGGGGAGGGGGGTCCCGAGCAGATCCAAGAGATCTGCGCGGATCTCCCGACCCGACAGGTTGGGCTTGTTAGGTTTCAATGAAGGGCTCCACCGACCCACGTCGCACACCCTGCATACCGCGGCCTCCAGCGCGGAGCACAGATCCAAGAAGCCTGCGCGGATTTCAGACAGTTCCCGACCGTACAGGTTGGGCTTGTTAGATTAAAGGAAGAGCTCCCCCGACCCGCCTTGCACACCCTGCATACCGCGGCCGCCAGCGCGGCCGCCAGAACCAGCGTGTGGCAGCGCTCTCTGAGTATCCCGCTTCGTGCCTGCATGCTGTTGCCGGGCCCAAAATCAAGAGAGGGAAAACCACCCAGACCCGATTATTGGCGTTTGCTGAACGGCCATGGGCGTTTCTTTAACAGCCTTGCCCTGTTCGATTCCTTGGGGTGCGTCTACTAAAAAGTTTAGTGTTTTGGGGTGATTATTGTGAGGGTGGATTGTCTGCCCTCTACAGAAGGTGCCGGTGTTCCGCCCCACGCTCTCGGACCGCTCACGGCGCGAGTTCTGACCAAGACTTCGAGGAGAATTCGGCCGTGGCGACGAGGGCTCTCCAGGACGAGCACAGGCATCGGCATTTGCTCTTCCGAGCTTCTTGTTCCTCCCGGGAGGGCAGAGTGGCTGCGCCGCCTGGACTCTGTGACCTCGCCGCTGGAGTACGCCAGGCTGGCCGGGGACGTCCGGCGCCAGCTTCCCGCGCTCATGAGCTACAGGTCGGGGCTCGAGCTGGGCGGTGTTTTGGCGATTTTTCGTGGACCGTTCTCGTGCTGTGCTCGCGTTGAAGCAGGAGGGCGGAACGAGGGCAGAACTAGGGAGCACGAAGACTCGGCGGCGAGCGAGGGGGGGAAATGAGAAGGAGAAGGCCTTCGCAGAAGGCGGCGGGACTTCTCAGAAGCCCTCACGCCTTCTGAGAAGCTGTTTCTGTATTCGAGGAAGGCTTCGAAAACTTCTCAGAAGGCCGGGGGACTTCCGAGCCTTCTGAGAAGGCTTGCCTCTTCTCTCGGGCCGGACGAAAGGGGGGGAATGGGAAAGGGGGGGCTACGAAATCTGCTGCATGCAGCTGGTTTCGGCCCCACCGAGGGGCCCATTCCTCGATAGATGACCGCCTCTGGCGCCGGGAGGAGCTGGGAAAATCAGCTACGTGAGCTGATTCTCAAACCCCCCCTTTGCTATCCCCCCCTTTCGCCTGGCCCGATTCTCACTTCCCCCCCCGCGCCCGCCGCCAAAGGGCAGCACGAGCACGGCACGGAACACACCGTTAGCGCAAGCCTTGCTACAAAGGTCCAAGGCGCGCTTCGAGGCCGACGCCGCGGAGGCGTGCCGGGCGCTGCGGGCCCACGGGCTGAGGGTGAGGCGCGGGGGAGGGAGACGGTACCCGTACCGCTTCTTCCGAAGATCGCATGCCTAGAGATTGACACCAACACCAATATCGGCGGTGTGCATCCACCGAGGGAGGAAGATCCCGATCTCGGTGATGGTGGTAATATTCTGGCTTCCAAGGTGGCCGAACTATTGCCACCAACACCGAAATCGAGGATCGTCTTCCCCCTGTGGAGGCAACCCCTTGTGTTGGTGATGGTGCCCATTTCTAGGCCTCCAAGAAGAGCAAAATATTAGCGGCGCGCAGAGGGGGGTAGGGGGAGGGGGGAAGGTTTCTCGGAAGGAGGCTGCTGCTTAGAAGGCGCCGGCCTTGCATCCACGGAGAAGGCCCGCACCTTCTAAGAAGCAGGGGTGCTTCTAAGAAGCCTTCCCCCCTCCCCCTACCCCCCTCTGCGCGCCGCCAAAGATAACAAGTCGAGCTTCGGGAACAAGAGCTCCGAGGAATGATGTTGATGTTTTTTTTTCCCGAAATACACTGCGTAGGCATGATTATTCGAAGGTTCGCGCGGATTTCTTGGATTGGCCCCCTGGCGGCGCTTCCGACGCCGCCCCCACCGCGCTCGGCGCGCCAGGGAGTGGGGTGCAGCGCCAATCCACAAAGCTTTCAGTTTTTTGTAGGTCGACCCTTCCAGATCAAGGGCGCCCTCGTGTCCCGAGTTTTTCGCGTTCCACGCCCTGTGTCCGACGGGGGCCCTCGGAAAGGCATTGTGTCCTCTCGCGCCTCCTCTCCCATCAAGCCCGACTGTACCACTCCCCTTCCCTAGTTTCGAGGGATGAGGAACGGCATCATCAGAATTTCTCTGAGTCCCGCGCGGATGGTTTGGATCGGCAAATTTGGCTGCGCTTCCGGCGCCGCCTCAGGCCCCGCGCCGATGAAAGAAACCCGAGTGGTCGTCAGAGAAATCAGGTTGATGCTTGTCTTGGTCTCTTGGGAGGCCCCTGTCGCCACAGCCGCAGTCGCCTCGAAGTCTTGATTCGAGCGCGCCCTGGGGGGAGACCTGGGCACAGCGAGAGCGGCACTTGCTGGTCTCCCGAGAGGCACCACGGGGGCGAGGTCGTGCAGCTAGGGGGCGCCCAGATCATCGGCGGCACCTTCTGCTTTGCGGGCGTCCTGGGGAGCGCGTGCACCATCCCGAGGAACAAAAACACGGCATGGACATGGATTGTGGGAGGTCCGCGCGGACGTCTCGGGTCGGCCACGGACCCGCGCGTCCCGCGCCGACCCAGGAAAGCCGTACGGACAGCCGAAAGTTTATGTTTGTGCGGCTTCTTGTTCTTCTAAGCATGGGCTACTCGTGCCTGCTCACGTTGGTCGGAGGGGCCTGCTGCTGCTACGGGAAGGTGGCGGGGGGGTTGGGCCGCGCGCAGCTCCTCCAGTTCGGGGAACAAGGAATGACGTAGGCATGGACTTTTGGAAACCGTGCGGCTTTCTTGGATCGGCGCCGCCCGGGGGTCTGGCGCCGATCCAAGAAGAACTCCGCGTGTACCTTCAAAAGTTTATGTTTATGTAATTTGTCCTTCCCCGACCAGCCCAAGCTGTCGCGCAAGTCGCAGCGGCTGGTGTCGGCGGTGCTGCAGGAGTTGCACGTTTTCGGGCTGGCGGCGTCGGTGTATTCTTCGGGCTGCCGCGTCGCGCAGCAGGTGGCCGCCCAGGGCGCGAGCGGCTGGCTGCCGAGCGATGGCAAGCTGGAGGCCGCGCGCATATCGTTAGGTGCTCGTTCTGGGGACCTTCCCAGGCGATCTAATTAATATGTTCGACTCAAATGCGGCTCAATTTCGATTCAGGTCGAAGGGACAGTCGATGCAGCATCAACGCATGAGCGCAGCGAGTGGCTCCAGGAAGGTCCCCAGAACGAGCACCTAAACATCGTCGATGATCGGCAGCCAGCTTGCGGGAGCGACGCTCGGGGCCGCGCTCGCAGGCTTCAGCTCCGCCGTCATCGTCGGCCAGGGCGTACTGACCGCCAAGGCTGGCGATCGGCTGAGGGACCACGGGAAGGCGATCCTCGGGCAAGCGGAGGCAGTCGAAGCTGCAGCCATGGAGTTGCTCCGGATCTGGCCCGAGGCCTGACAGCGGCCAGCGGCGGGATGCGACAGCCAGGCCGTCCAGACAAAAAAAGCTTCCTTTTCTCCTCCAGGACACCTTGCGATCCAGCTTGCTCGAGAGATGGCCCCCCAAGACCTGTCGAACCTTTTCCTGGGCCAATTTCTTGTTTGACGTTTCTTGTCCCAGGGCCCGGCTTCTCTTCTCCCGGGGCCCGAAATCGGCCGGGGCGGTCCAAAACATGTACTGAATGCCGAGTTTCTCGATGTGTTCGAGGCGTCGGCTGCAGGAGGCCTCAGCCACTGGCCGTCATGCGGCCGCTGCGGTCGCCCTCTGATCCCTCTGGTGTGGTTGAGCTCCTGGGATTGCGCCCTCGGACTGCACGAAACGACTGTTTCCCTGACGTGGGGCAGGATCAGGCAGGGCCAGGACCAGCACCAGTCGTTCCAGAAAGTTCTGGCATGCTCCCAGTGCGTTCCGGAGCGCTCTGGGACGGCCGTACGGCCGCGGTGCCCGATGGCACCTTCCAGGACCGCCGGATCTCAGAGATCCCCGATGAGCCCCGTGCCGATTTTGTCCCGGCTTCGTCTCAGAGACGGCGCAGAAGGTCGGGGGCGGTCAAGAGGGGCTCGGTGACTCGGGGGTGAAGGGACATCATGGCGGAGGCCATGATCTATCCACAGATTTCACGGCGCCTCTTCTCGTTTGGATACGTCCCTGGCCCCCCCCCCTTGGGCCGCGCACGTGCCGCCGGCCATGATTTGCGTCCCCCCTCTCTTGGACGCCCCCCGGCTGGCCGCCCCCGAGAAGGGGGCAGGGGGCCACATGCGAACCCTACCCCTACCCCACACGATTTCTGCGGGGGAGGGCGGGGTTCGCTCCGCTCGGGAGCTCCCCAACGAAGTGAACACCCCACCCTCCCCCTCAGAAGCCGTGGGGGGCAGGGGTAGGGTTCGCGTGCGGCCCCCGAGAATGGGGGTGGGTGGAGAAGGTTCAGGAGGAAAAAAACACACAGACACAAGTAATCGACGATCCCCAAGAAAATATGGGAAAATATGGAAAGTGGAGAGGAAGACAGAAGCCCAGAAAATATGGAACATATGGAGGATATTTTCACTTGTGTGTATTTATTTGTGTGTCCCAGGGCCCCTTCAAAGGTGCGGGATGGTGGACCTTGGCACCAGCGCGGCGGGCTCCCTCCCGGGCAGGGCGCCGCGCACCCCGTGCCAGGGGCGCCCCCCTCCGACGGGGGGGCAGCGCCGGGGCGCCCGGCGCCCCGCGGGCCTGCGAGCAGAGGGTTTGCCCCCCTCCTCCACCCTCCTCCCCCCCCCTTCCTCCCCCCTCCTCCTCCTCCTCTCCTCCTCCTCCTCCCCCTCCCCCGAAGCGCCTTTACTTTTACCTCCTCCTCCCCTCCTCCCCTCCCCCCTTTCCTCCTCCTCCTCCTCCTCCTCCTCCTCTTCTCCTCCTCCTCCTCCTCCTCCTCCTCCTCCTCCTCCTCCTCCTCCTCCTCCTCCTGGGCCCCGCGCACGGCCCGCCGCCGCGCGTGGGCGGAGCAGCGGGGGACGTGGCATCGCTCGGGCGTGTGCGTTTTTTCCCCCGGCGAGGGCCATCGAGGAGCATCCTCGATCCTGTGGCGAGGGAACCACGCACGAAGCCGAAAGAACACAGGGAATGGACGTCCGAGCGACGGCCAGGGGAAGGGCGGGTGGGCACGGGGAGGATGGTGTGTGTGTGTGTTGTGGTGGTGGTGGTGGTGGTGGTGGTGGTGGTGGTGGTGGTGGTGGTGGTGGTGGTGGTGGTGGTGGTGGTGGTGGTGGTGGTGGTGCTGGTGGTGGTGGTGGTGGTGGTGGTGGTGGGATGGCATTCGACCGGGGGATCGACTGCAGAGTTGGTGTGCCCCAGAACGGATCTGCACGGCGACGCTTCAGCCATGAATGCGTCAACCGTGCGTAGATCTGCGAAAGGTCTACGGCTTGCCCGTGGATTCGACGAGACAAATCGTTTCTGGGGCAGATCAATTCTGTAGTCGATCCCCTGCTCGAGGAATGGATTCGGTGAATGGAGTGGAATGGACTGGTGGTGGTGGAATGGAGGTGGTGGCGTGATGGGATGGTGGAAAGGAGTCGAGAGGCAGATGAGGGGCGCAGGAGAAGACTGCGGGGGGAGGGGGGCGCGGGAGAAGAGCTCCGTCCTGGGACACAGATCGGCCGAAGGGTTCGCCTTCCTTAGAGAAGTGCAACGACCCTCCGACCCGCGACCCTCGACCCTCTTCGTCCTCCTCTTCGTCGTCGCCCTGCTTTGTTTCTCGTCGAGCCCCCCCCCTCCCCACCCCTCCCACTGCGCGGGAGGCCCATCACCATCAGCGTCTGTGCTGACGACAAGTCGCTGGTCATTCGGGTGGAGGACGGGCGACAGAAGCTGATGCTCCGTTGATGCTGTCACGGCAAGAGGCCCCCAGGTGCTTCGCATTGTTCGGCATTCGGGGGCCCTTCCTTGGGACTGTCTAGTACCGACTCGGATGAAGATTGGAACCAGGGAAATCCTACGGGTCCAGGGCCCGCTTCCTGCGTGAATCGTGTTGGTTCTGTCGTGCTAGGGATTGCACAGGTGAGGATACAGCAACACGTGTTGCCCAAGTAAGTGAGCAATGAGCTGAAAGAACTTTTCTGAGGTCCGCGCAGGTGTTTTGGCCCGGCGCTGGACCCCCCCCGCGCATCCCCGTGCGACGCCTCTGGAGCCGACCCTGGTGCGCGTCACGTGCGGGGGTCGTCGGGGAGTTTCCCGGGAGTCCCACGGATCGCACGACAGACCAATGTGCAGGTCACGTTTGGGAGCCAGTTGGGGGGCCGATGTGGCCCAGCCTCGGGTCTGGCCAGCAAAAATGCGGGAGGAGCGGACTCCCTCGTCGCCACGTTTGGGCGCGGGTCAAAACAGAAATTGGCGGTTTCGACCCCAGGAGGGGTCCAAGGGCCGATTTTGAGTGGATTTGCCCTTGTCCCCCGCTCTTGCCAGATTTTCCCGGGGCTCATCCAGCGCATGCCTCCCCCGCGCCGCTTCCAAGTTATCTTGTTGATCGTCGCCGGTATCCGTAGTTAGAGCCCCCGCGGCCGCACGTGTGCGATTTTGTCAACGTGCAGGCCGAAGGGATTCGATGGGCAAACACGCCAGCGTTGACACAAGTATTCTGGATCATCGAATAATGGAGGATGACGATTAATAAATGACCGGGGGTCGTCTTCACGCGGCGGCGCCCGGGATGACGATTAGAAAAAACCGGCCGCGGGTTCGAAAACTATTTCTTAAAATCGTTCTCCCCCAGTCAGAATTGTGCAGAAATAGCAGAAAACTATGTGTTTAATCGTTCCCTCCCATTTTTTAATTAATCCTCATCCCGCATTAAGGCAGGAGTAGACGGAGGCGGACTTGGAGGAAGACGTCCTCGAGAGCTCGGGCACCGCGCGGCTCTGCTGACCCCTCCGACCATCCCGCGGTGAGAACAGCCGGGAGGGGGGGCGTGGACTCGACTCAACCTCCTTCGCCTTGGCATCGCTCGGACGTGTGCGTTTTTTTCCTCGGCGAGGACCATCGAGGAGCATCCTTGATCATTTCGCGAAAAAGCAACGCACGAAATCGAAACAAAAACACAGGGAATGGACGTCCGAGCGATGGCCAGTCGCGGTCCATGATCCCTCCAGCTCACGAGGAGGAGCGTGAGGAGGAGGGGGAAGGCGAGGGGGGCCGGGAGAAGGACGAGGAGGACGACGAGGAGGAGGGCCCGGCAGACGACTTGGTGTGCGACGCGGAGGGCGAGGAGGGCCCTGGCTTCCCCCCCTCCCCCTCCTCCTGCTGTTTTGTCGCCCCTCCCCTCGATGGCGTCGAGAGGGGACGAGGCCATCGCTTCCCGCGTCGGGCAGGTCGCCCCCCCGGCCCAGGGCCGCGTCGGCAGCGCTCGGCCGCGCGGCCCTCGGCGCGCCGAGCCCGCTGCCCGCAGAGCGCGGGGCCCAGCTCGCGGTCGCCGGCTCTGGCGAGGCTGCCCAAGGATGGCCTGGGCCTGTTGGCTGGTCGCGCGGACGAGCGCGGTACTCCGCGCGTGGGGCAGGACAAGGCGGGGCATCTCCGCCGACCCGGAGGACGAGCGCCCGACGGACTTCATTCGGGGCGCTGGTGCCGGGCGCTCGGCCAGAGCCTCCGCGCTCGACTGGAGCACTTGCGCGGAGCAGACCACCCCCCCGAGGAGCGCGGACAGACCTCCTACCCTGACACGTCGATTAAGGAATTGGCCGTTTCTGGTTCGCGAGGGGCGCCGCGGCCGTCATTTTTGCGGGTCCAGGTCCGTCGGTTTCGGTCCCAGGCCGTTTTCGCTAAGGGGAGGTCTACTAAAGGGAGGTTTGTCCACCGCCGAGGTGGGGCCTGTCGGCTGGTCGCGCAGATGAGCGCGGACCTGCTCAAGCTCTTGGAGCACGTGCGGCCCGATCAGCTGCCGCGCGAGTGTCCTCGCCAAGGCCTCCCAGCAGCCGAGGGCGCTGAAGACGTGCTCCTCCCTGGCGAGCCACTTCGTCGCCTTCAAGTTGTGCTGGCAGGATGCGGCCATGCGACCACGACGGTCAGAGTCCTCAAGGTGACGGTGCCCTGTCGGTGCATCCCCGGGCGTTGATCGACGACGTGCCCTCCAGAAGATGTCCGACGACCTCGATCGCTTTGTTGAGGAAGCTGACAGACTACGCGCAAAATATGCCTGGCAGTCAAGCGCCTCGGGATCCTGGCGCAGCCGTTCGACCCAGGCTGCGCAGCACGAGCCCAAGACATACGCGAAGGCCGTCAGGCACGACCACTTCGCTCAATCTGAGCCATGAACTTCACGGGCGTGGAGTGTAGCGCAATGTCCAGAAGCGCCGCCTCGCGAAAATGCATGCCTAGGCCAGCCGTGCGAAGTGCTTGCGGCAAGCGGCTTGTACTCGCGCCATGAGCCGATTGTGGCGCGTGGGAGTCCTCCCTGGTGCTGACTATGGTGCAGCTGCGTCGGACATGATGGCCAGCTTCAAATGAAAGAGGTTGATTCTGGGGCCCTTCCCCCGGGCTATGCGGGGGACGGCACGCTGACGGCATATTTGCTTTGACTGCTCGGGGCAGCCGCTGCGACCCCGCTTGCGAGTGAACTACAAGCGTGGTCAGCAGCTACGCGAGCTGGCTGTTGTTGGGCCGTGACAAGGCCAGTTGGCTGCTCGAGCGTGGGACGCGATGGCTGGCGGGATGAGGGCGGCCATACAGGTCTCATGGGCATCTGCGAAGGGCACCATTTCGGCGCTGTGGCTGACGCTGGCGTCTGGCGACCCCCGACTGAGAGTTCGTCGACCCCTTAACACGTCCGCAGCGACCAGGGCGAGCCCGCTTCGATGACGGTGCTGGAGCCAGTGAAGGTGAATCAGGTTGTCGAGGTTGAGGCGCGCCAGTGGCAGCAGCGCGAGACGCTGAGTCACTATCCCGATGAGTTCTGCGATGTCCCACTTTTTGCACCGCGCCATGGGCGGGGGGCGCCCGCTGCCCGTAGATGGCAGGTGCGCTGCGTGCCCTTCAAGCGCGCGCCCTCTGCTCCCGCGCGCGCCTACGACGCAGGCCGCCTGAGCGGCCCTAGAGCTGCTCCTGCAGGACGCAGAGGGGGCAGCCGCTTGTCCTTCAGTGCTGTGCGGTGGGGGAGGCTTGAGGCTAGAAACGACGCCTGAGTTGCTCAGCGCCAGGGCGACTTGCAAAAAGGACGGCGTGATGACCGCCCTGGCCCTGGCCACGGCCCGCTGGAAGGCGGCGGCGCCGATCGCGTCCAGCTCGGCCTCGAGTGCGCGGCGGACGGCGCCGAACCCGTCGTGCGTCGGAATGCCCACAGGAAGGGCGAGAGCGCGCGCCGCGTCCCACCCGACGAGGGCGAGGAACTCCCGGATCGATTCCCGCTGCGCCTGCGTGTCCTGGGGCTTTGCACCCTTGCCTCACCGTGATGGTCACAGCCCCCGCACTGCGCCCGGCCGCCGCCGGCCCCCAGTGCAGCAGCCGCCGCGGACCCGCCGGCGGGGCCGGCCGCGCCACGCGCTCGTGGCGTGACCCGTCCCCCTGAGCGGCCTCGCTCCCCTCCCGCCCCTTCTTGTGGCCTTTTCGCCTGCACTGTCCCCTCTTCCTGCATGGTGGCGCATGTCGCTACAACGGCAACCCCGTTTGTTTAGCTCCTCCGCCAGCGCCGTTCCTCTGCCTAGCCGCCGACGCCAAAAATGTCCTGGGGTTCCGCGGGAGCGTGCACCGCGTCGGCGCCGCTGGCCGCTGCCGCCGCCTGGCGTCTCCGGCCCCGGCGCGCGGTCTCGGCCGCCGGCGCCCAGCCAGCCTCGTCCGCGCCCGCCGCGCGGGCGCCCTCTGCCAGCGCGCCGTCGAGGGCCGCCCCGGCGGCGCCCGCCAAGGGATCGGCGCCGCGGGCCCCCCTCCCCCCCCCAAATCCGGTGCAGGTGGCCTGTCCTGGGCACGGCGCGTCGGCGCCCGCTCGCTCGGTCAGCGCCCGCCGGACAAAACAAGAAACGCCTGTTCGGAGGCGCTCGCCGCTGGCGCCCACGCCGCGCCACCGCCGCCCTCTCCCGCGTCGCCTCCGCCTTAAGCGGACGCGCTGAGGCTCCGAGCCGGCGCCTGGCGCGCCAGCGCGGGCCGCCTTATAGCGGGGGCGCTCGCCGCAGGGCGCGGGCCGCCCCGTTTTGGGCGCTCGCCGCGCACGTGCCGTCGGATCCGTGGGCCGCCCTGGCCTTGGCATCGCTCGGGCGTGTGCGTTTCTTCTTCGGCGAGGACCATCGAGGAGCATCCTTGATCCTTTGGCGAAAAAACCACGCACGAAGCCGAACAAAAACACGGGGAATGGACGTCCGAGCGATGGCCAGTGGCGGGGGCGATCGCCGCGGGCGGCCGCCCGGCTCTGCGGGCCGCGCCCTCGGAGGCGCGCGCCGCGCGGCGGCGCTCAGTGCCGCGGGCCGCCCAGGAGGGGGGCGCTCGCCGCGCGGGTGCGCCCGGCGGCGCGAGGCGCCCCGTGGGGGGCGGTCGCCGCGGTCGCCTGCGCAAGGCCGCCGTCGTCCGCGTCGACGCAGCACGGCCTCCTCTCAGAGCCCCGAATCATCAGGGGTAATTCGGGTCAGGGCTAACTCGGGTTCGACTCGGGTTCGTTTTCTGGGAATCCAAACCCGAGTTACCCCGGACCCGAGTTACCCCGGATAGCTCGGGCGTCCAGAGCCCCGAATCATCAGGGGCAATTCGGGTCAAGGCTAACTCGGGTTTCTTTTTTCGGAAATCCAAACCCGAGCTACCCCGGACCCGAGCTACCCCGGATAACTCGGACGCCCAAGCACGGCTTCCTCGGCGGTTCACCCACCCCTAGACAACAAGAACCGCATCCCCGACACAAGCCGAATCCATGGTTTCTCAGGTAGGGTGGAATATTTAAAGCCTATTTAGGTTGTGTTGTATCTACGGGGCCTCAAAACGGCGGTGGTGATTATCACTTGTGCTTCCTTGGCGCACATTGGAGCCTCCTCGGGGTATAATTGAGGGCTCTTTCAGCCATCATTGCGGCCTTGGAAACCATTTTGGGCATCTTAGTGGTGGTTGTTCGGGGCCGTGTTCGACGCCATCTTGGGCATCTTAGCGGCGTTGAAAATAGCCCGACAGGCGTCTGAGCATACAGGGGGGCGCATGCGATTGGATAGCGGTGTGGGGGGACGCTTCAGAAAGTTACAGATGCCCAGCCAGACAGCTCTCGCTTCCCATTCTTAAACTCGCCATCTCGCTGTTTCCCATGTCTATATACGCATATTCGAGGGAATCTGCTTGTCCTGCACACTATTGTCTTCTCTTGTGTCCGACGCGGCCACTGGGCCCCCCGAAGGTGCAACATACCCGTTTTCCTTCCCCATCCCCTCTCCCCACGGATCCGCGCCAGGACCGCGCGGGGGGCATCCCAGCGAAGAGCCTCGACAAAGTGTGGTCGTACTTGTACACCACGGCGCCGCGGCTCCGCGCAGCCGCTCGAGCTTCGGGGGCCTCGGCGTCGGACGCGTCGGCTTTTCCAGCCGCTGGCCCCCTGATCTCTCGACCCCCGTCAGCGGCCGCCGGGGCCCGCGACGCCGACTCGCTTCGCTTCGGCTCGAGCCGCCGGCACCGGTTGGGGCCGCCAGAGCCGGGCGCGGAGATCCGACTCCGCCGGGCGCGCTCCGCTGCTCGCACAGTGCCCGCTCCTCCTCCTCCTCCTCCTCCTCCTCCCCCTCCTCCTCCTCCTCCTCCTCCTCCTCCTCCTCCTCCTCCTCCTCCTCCAGTCCTCCTCCTCCAATCCTCCTCCTCCAATCCTCCTCCTCCAATCCTCCTCCTCCGTCTCCTTCTCGTCCGCCGCAAACGTCCGAAAAAAACACATGTCTGCTTTGATGCAATGTGTCGCAGATCCCCCGCGGGGGATCCAGGCCACGTGCGAGCAGGTGCGTTGCGAGTCGTGGACCACGCTCGTCGACGACCTCGGTTCGGGAGGATTTGCTGGCGATCCGATCCGATGGCGTGGCTCGATTCGGCCTGCCCTTCCCCAGGGCCGGCTTTACCCTCCCGCGCCGTTTCCTGACAGCACCGGGGCTCGAAGCCAGCCGCCCAGCGAGGAGCAAAACGGCCTTCACGATCGTGTCGAGCAAATTGATGGCCGCGGCGGGCTGCGGCGACCAGGCAAGATGTGGAGGGGATGGTCGGGCCCGACAGGGCCGACCGGGGAGGAGGGAGTGGGCAGTACTGCGAGGTGCCCAGACAGCTGGCGAGGATTCGAACAAAGAGGTGGAGGGGAGGATCGAGTCCGAGAGGGCCGACAGGGTCGACGAGGGAGCTGGCAGCACGGCGAGGTGCCCAGACACCCGGCGAGGATTCGAACAAATCGAGGCGGCCGTGTTTGCGCCGTTCGCGGCCTACCTCCTCTCCTCCTCCCCTGACCTTCCAAGAGGGCTAAAAAATAGCACGCGACTTAAAAGCCTATCCCAAGGCTAGTATACGTCTTGGTTTGGGCTGTTTCGCTCAGTTGTTTTAGGTTTTCAGGCCTCCAGTGCTGAAACATAGCTCTCTGGAGGGTCAGGGTCATCATCCCCCCTAACTCCCAAGATTCCGACGTCGTGAGCTTCTCACAGCGTGGGCCCACGGAGGCCTCGAGTAGTTTCCCCCACAGGCCGTCTCTTCCGCCTGGGCCGTGTCTTGACGGCCCCAGGGCATGGCACTGGCCCCGAGAGGAGAGCCACCACCGGAAGTGTCTGTGGAGACCTCTGCTGGGTCCGTGGGGGGTGGTCGAGGCGATGGAGGAGCAGGAGCGAAGTTGCAGGGACGAGGACTAGGGTGAAATCGGATCGTGATAGACCTCCTGCCGTGACACGTCGATTGGTGAACTGGCCGTTTTCGGTTCGCGAGAGGGCGTCGCGGCCGTTCTGTTGCGGGTCCAGGTGCGTCGGTTTGGGTCCCAGGCCGTTTTCACTCAGGGGAGGTTTACTAGTGGAAGGTTTGTCCACCGCCGATCAAGGCAAGGACGAGGCAGAGGAGGGTGAGGAGGACACCGCAGGATCCGTGGAGGTGGCGGCGAAGGCGGCGGAGGCGGAAGGAAGCGCCCTGCCCCCCGGTGGCGCGGCCTTCCAGGAAGACCGCCCCTGTGTCCTGCCTCCTTCCTCCCGGGGCCTCGGCGCGCACGACCCTCCCTCTCTCTCTCCCTCTCTCCCTCCCTCCCTCCCTCCCTCCCTCCCTCCCTCCCTCTCTCCCTCCCTCCCTCCCTCCCTCCCTCCCTCCCTTCCCTCCCTCCCTCCCCCCCCCTCCCTCCCTCCCTCCCTCCCTCCCTCCCCACGAGACGAGCGAGCGGCCGCAGCAGCAGCCGGCGGCCTCCCGGGCCCCGAGGCGCCGGCCCGCTCGGACAGCTGGGAGCACCAGGGGACACCGCTGGCAGGCGCCGCCCGCTCCCCCCCCCCTAAAACGACGCGAAGATCGGGACAAAATCGGATCGGGATAACTCGAAATCTCTGAGAATCGGCGGGTTTGGAGGATGTATTGGGCGCCGCGGCCGCTCCAGAGCGTTCCGGAACGCTCTGAGAGCGCACCGGAACGCTCTGGAGCGATTTATCCCGATCCTAGCCGTGTTTTACCCCCCCCGCGGGCGCAGGCAGGAGAGCGGGAGCGGGAGAGGGTGACGACTGGGCAATCGTCGTCCTCCGCCTCTACCTCCTGCTCTCCTCCTCCTCCTCCTCCTCCTCCTCCTCCTTCTCCTCCTCCTCCTCCTCCTCGTCCTCTTGTTTTGGCGCTGCGAAAGCTCAAGGGCAGAGCCTGAAGTGCTTGTGTGGACAGAAAGGGAAAAGCCGACTTTAGGCCAGCAACAAACAAATTAGGCCTGGCTCCTCCTCCCCATCCTCCTCCTCCTCCTTCCTCCTACTCCTCCATCCCTCCTCCTCCTCCTCCTTGTCTTCCTCCTCCTCCTTCTCCTCCTCTTTCTCCTCCTCCTCTTCCTCCTCCTCCTCCTCCTCCTCCCTCCTGGACCGGGACCGGAACTGGGGCCAGGCCGGTGCAAAACCGTGCGCCAGAGCCGCGGCCGAGGCGGCCGAACCCAGAAACGGAGCAGAAACCGTGGCCGTGAGCAGGGCCGAGGCCAGGGCCAGGGCCAAGCGCCGGAGCCGGGACCGGGGCCGGAGGGACATGGTGCCTCCCAGAGTTCATGGCCCCTTCATCTTGAAGCTCGCTGAGGGGCAGCGCACGCGGTCTGTGTTTCTGGGGCGACGGGGGATAGGACAATGCTTTTGTAGGGAAAGAGCAAACATGAGCAGCCCAATCGCGGGCAAGAGCAAACCTGAACTCAGGGCTTCTCGCGAAGGGCGGCGGTAAGGATTGCTGTTGACCGATCAAGCGCGCCCGCCGAGCGTACGGGGATCTGGCCCTGGAAACAACGCTGCCCCCCAGCGACCTTCAACCTTCATCTCATAAGGATCGGCACGAACGAAATGGGTACGGAAAGTATGGGTACAATGCCTAACAGCAGTTCCCATTCACTTTAGACAGGACTCGCTGTCGGTGTCGCCGCGGCCTGTATCCATTCGAGACAGAAGGCCGCCTGCCCAACAGTGGCCGCTGTTGGTTTGGGACAACATTTGTTGTCGGGCATAGTACCCATTCTGTCCGTGCCCATTTCGGGCGTCCAAAGATGATGCGCCCCCTGGGAAGGGTCGGGGATCTCATGTCGGGGGACATGATACCTCCCAGAGTTCATGACCCCCTCATCTTTTGTCAATGTGGCCCCCTCATCCTATGTCAATGCGGCCACTGCGGAGGGGGTATCTCCTGGCCGGGGTGATGATACCTCCCAGAGTTCACGGCCCCTTCATCTGATGTCAATGTATCCCCCAGGGAGGGGGGGATCTCATGGTGGGGGCCATGCTATCTCCCAGAGTACACGGCCCCATCTTCTCATCTCAAAGCACGTCCCCTGGTCGCCCCTTCGTCCGCGCACATGCCTCGGGCCATGATCTTCGAATCCCCTTCTTGGACGCCCTGCCTTTGGCCGCCACTGGAAGAAGCCGAAGAGGAAGTCGAAGACGACGACGAATAGTAATAAGCATAAGAAGAAGATGCATACTGATGATGATATTATTAATGATTATAAGAATACTAATAATAATACAAAAAATGATGATAATAATAATAAATAATAATAATAAGCAGGAAAACATATCAACAATACTAATCATCATCATCACTAATAAGAATATGAAGAAGAAGAGGAATAAGAAGAAGAAGAGGAAGCACAATGATGATCATGTGAAGTGCGACGCGAAAACATTCACTCCCAGTTAGTTCCAGACGTCCACGCTGCGGCAGGGAGGGATGGGGGCACGACGGGAAGGCAGCGGCGGAGGGGGGATGATGGGAGGGAGGCGAGAGCGAGGCGGAGGAGTTTTTTTGGGGGGGGGCAGTTGGTAGCAGGATCCCAGAGCTCGGGAGCCTCGAGACGGGGGTCAGTGCAGACGGGGGTCAGCCAGGGCGCCGGATCCTGCAGGATCCTGCGAAGGCCCCCTCTGGCTGACCCGGGTTAGCGAGCCGCTCGTGGCCGCGAGGCGGCCGCACATATTGGCTGACCCGGGTTTGCGAGGACCTGCGTTGCAGTTTTTTTTTTTGTTCTTGCATTGCAGTTTTTGGTTTCCTGCTGACCTGGGTCTGGATTGACCCGGGTCAGCAGATCCCCGAAGAGCCCCTAAACTGGCCAGAATTACTAAACCAGGTCTGCCGTAGCTGGTGCTTTCTCGGGTGACGGCAGTTCCGGCTGGTGGAACGGGGCGGGGAGGGGCGACCCCCAGTGCACATCACGAAGCCAGGTCCCATGAAGCCCAATCTTGGTAACGCCTGATATTGGGCTACGAAACGCTTGAGGGGTGTGCCAAAGGGATTGGAGGAGGGAGGAGGGAGAGGAGGAGGTCGGAGGAGGGAGAAGGAGGAGAGGGAAGCGGGGACTGTCTCTCCGTGACGAGGACCCAACACCACAGGATGGCTAGGAAGTACAACTTGCTTGCGGGTCTCACGAACATGACGCAAGACTTTGCCCCAACATTGTATTTGTATATTGCTTTTGGGCAGGGATGGTGGGGGGGCACATCGGGTTGGTTGCGCATGCTCCAGATTTGGATGCAGAGTGTGCTTTGTATTGTTTTTGTTGGCAGGGATGGTTAGGGGGTGAGCATAGGGTCGGCATCGTTCCTTGTTGGCGGTTGGTCGCCCAGGGGAGGGTGTGTGTGTGTGTGGTTATAGGGATGTATCCCCACCTCGAGCAGAGGGAGGGGGGCGAGAGGGGACAATTTGTGTTAAACCTCCTACGTCCTAAAGGCCCGGTGGGATGTGTCGTTTTCTCCCTGCTTGGGAGCTCGACTGGCAGCGGTCCACAGGAACCAATATCTGACCACGGCATAGCGCGAGCAAGTTCAGAGGAACCGAGCCGAGGCGACCCGCTGGAGGCAGTTGAGATGGGCCCCGCGGGAGGTCCAGGCGCGGTTTGGTTTCAAACCAGGGGGAGGAGTGATGGGTTGGCCCTTTCTAAACGAGGGCGGCCCACGACCGCTGCGCGTAGGGCGCGCTGTGGACTTACCAGACAGCATTTGCGTCAGCCTTTGGGCTCTGCGCGACGGGCCCCTCCATCTCTCCCTTCCCTCCATTCCTCCCCTCCTCTCCGCTCCAATCAGACGATTTGGGCGCCCACGGGCAGTCTGCTCGCAGCGATGGCGGCGATCGCCTCCCCCCCCGCCCTGGTCCTTCCCTCGGCCGCGCTCTGGACAGGACCTCGAGGGGAACGCAGCCGTGGCCACGAGGGCGATGACGACGACGCCGCCGACGGGGGCGGCGGCCACGGCCACGGCCACGGCGGCGACGGCGACGGCGGCGGCCACGGTCCCCCATCCAAGGCTTCGGCGTGGGGCTGCCGCTCAGCCGGCTGTACGCCCGCTACCTGGGCGGGAACCTGCGGCTGATCTCCATGCCTGGGCAGGCGGGCCTCCCCTCTCGGCAGGGGCCAGCGGGGTCGGCCTTTCGGCAACGCGGGAAGCTGTGGTTCCCGATGTCTCCCACGCCGACATCGCCGATGCGTCGCCGACGTCGCGGATGCATCGGCGACGCGTCGGAGATGCGGCGCGATCCACCGACTCCAGCCGCTCCGGCCCCACTGGGGCGGCCTCAGCAGGGTGAGGCGGGCGAGGCGGGGGAGCGGGGGGGCGGGGAGGAGGGGAGGGGGCAGAGGAAAGGATTGCCGAGAGAGGAGATCGTTCAATATGGTGGGGCCCGCGAAGTCTCAGAAGCCAGGGCCAAGTATCGCGCGTCGCCAATCGAACAGCAAAAAGCGGCATAACAATACATGTTCGGAAATTCGCGCAGAATTCTTGTGATCGGCGATGGACCCTCGTGGCGGCGCCTCCGGCGCCGCCCTTGTCGTGCTCACGCGCGCCAGGGAGCGGGTTCCAGCGCCGATCCAAGACATCCGCGCGACCCTCCGAAGTTGTATGTGTCTGTAGTGCTGTTTCTTCTATTGAACGGCCCTCTCGGCGTCCGAAGCTAAGCCCCAGCCCACGTCATCCCACCCCAAAAGACATGAACTTGCCCTGGACTGCCAGGCATTGTCTTCGCTCTCGGAAGCTCGAGCGCTGCTCGTGGAGCGCTGCTCGTCTTTGGAGCACGGGCTCGCTTTTTGAGCGCTTGGCGAGTGTGGTGTTGTTTCTCCGGCTCCTTACGTCATCGCGAGTTTCGAGTGCCGCTTAATTCTGAGCAGCCGCATCACCACGCGTAGTGTCAAATGGTGCCGTTCACATTGGAACTTCGGCATCGCCCGTCCTCGCCGCGTGCGAGTATGTGTCGCCCTTTCGCATTCTCCTCCCCCTTCTGTTGCAGGGGGAAGGAGTGCCCAGACGCAGAGAGACCGGCGGGCGCCGCGCATCTGTAGTGACCGTGCAGAAGCTGGTCTTCCGGAGCAGGCACTGATCGGGGAAACGTAAGACTCGAGTAAGTCGGAACTCGGTTTTGCTGACTTTTTTGACGAGCGCGTCCTGGATTTTGACGGTCCCGTTTTCGTGGGATGTCTGAAGCGGGAGCCCGCGTCAAATTGCAGATTGGGTCTCTTCATTTGTATGATGGCCCCCGTCAGGCCAACCCGAGTCCCACGTACCCGAGTCTTACGTCTCCCCGAACTGAGCCCCACAGAGCGGCCTAGCGCGTACGTCCTTGTCTTCGGGTTCGACGTGAGGGGTTGGAAGGCGACAGGGAGATGTCGGCCTCCACGCTGGGCGCCTTCCTCGACACTCGGGCAGCTCTGGCGCCGGGAGGTGCCAGGAAAGCCCGGGATGTGAGATGGGTCGTTTTCCCTCCCTGTTTAACCCCGCGCCGCGGAAGACAAAATAACATACATCTGCCTCTTCACCTAAGAGCTGATTATCCCAGTGCGACCCTACCTAGGAGCTGGAGCATTTAGGAAAGCAACATCTACATCTACACCGACAGCTACATTTGCATCTACACCTGCATCTACATGCCGACTACTCTGTGCTATGCTATGCGTTGCGATGCGTTGCTATTCTGCGCTATGCTATGCTATGCTATGCTAGGGTACGCTCGACTGCGCTGTGTTATGCTAGGCTATGCTATGCTATGCGATGCTGCGCTATGCTATGCTATGCTATGCTGCGCTATGTTGTGCTATGCTATGCTATGCTGCGCTATGCTGTGCTATGCTGGGCGTTGCTATGATATGCTGTGCTGCGCTGCGCTGTGCTACGCTCTGCTATGCTATGCTGTGCTTAGCCATGCTAAAGCTCGGCGAAGCTCAGATGAAGGTAAGCTAAGCTAAGATAAACCTGAGCTAAGATGAGATAAGCAACGCTAAGCTAAGGGAACGTCACTGGGGGAACCCTGGGGCGGATCCTGGGGGAACCGCCCGGGGCGTGGAACACTGCCCGGCCCTTTAAGCCAACACGGTAAGAACCCTTCTAGGCAGAGCCTAGGTTGGGAATTATCCCAGGCCGAGACAGATGGTCGGGGAAAAGGGGCGGCGAAGCCAAACATCACTATCGCCGAGTGAAGTACGAATCGAAATTGCTATCTTCTTATGCTAAGTAACAGGAGTATCACGAATGTGTGTAAGGGCTATGGGGTTCACACCACTTCTCCCTTCCCAAGTCACGAACGTGTGGCACGGCCACAGAGGTCTCGCCACCTCAGCTTTCCCAAGTCACGAACGTGTGGCAGGGCCATGGGAGTGTCATCGTTTCAGACTTCCCAGGTCACAAACATCCCGGCCTTACCTCCGTACATCCGAGTTGCCTGGACGAGCAATCCGTGACTCCCCCGGACCCCCGAATTGTAATACCCCTTGTGATGATCTTCTGGGGAATAGGGCTCGTGCACGAGATTGAGTACTGCCAGCGGGGGCCAGCCGATGTGCTCGGTAGCAAATCATGGCAGCTTTGCGTGCCCCTGCAATTCCGTCGCCAGAGTGCACTAGCATCGCCAATCGATGAGATAGCGCCGACTGAGAGACGATCAGCGTACATTCGCGTCGAGTCGCAAGAGCCGACAAGGTGGTACAGTGAGCGGCTTGAGTAAGGAACACTTACTTTTCAAAAGGGGCTCGGTCGTTCCTCAAGACTTGCATGCGTTACGTATCCTTCCTTATGCGTTTTTTATTAGTTATCGTTCCTTATGCTTTTTTCCTTGGAAAACAGGGGCTTCGTTCCTTATTTATCGTTCCTTAGGTCAGGCCGATGACTGCAGGAAGGCGTGCGCCCTGCAGCGGCTGCTCTGCTCAGCGCCGAGCGCGCGGCACCGGCGCCGCGCCCGACCCCTCGCCTCCGGCGCCGGGGCGGCGCCGGGGCGACGCGGCGGCCGCGGCTCTGCGGCGGCGCGCCTCTTCCGCTGCGCCACCGCGCCCACCTCGGGGGTGGACAGACCTTCAGAGCCCCGAGTCATCAGGGGTAACTCGGGTCAGGGCTAACTCGGGTTCGTTTTTCGGGATTCCGAACCCGAGTTACCCTGGACCCGAGTTACCCCGGGTAGTTCGGGCGTCCAGGGCCCCAAATCATCAGGGGTAATTCGGGTCAGGGCTAACTCGGGTTCGTCTTACGGGAATCCAAACCCGAGTTACCCCGGACCCGAGATACCTTGGATAACTCGGGCGCCCAAGACCTCCTACCTTGACGCGTCGATTAAGGAATTTGGCCGTTTTCGGTTCGCGAGAGGGCGTCGCGGCCGTCATTGTTGCGGGTCCAGGTCCGTCGGTTTCGGTCCCAGGCCGTTTTCACTAAAGGGAGGTTTACTAAAGGGAGGTTTGTCCACCGCCGACCACCCTGTCAGTAACACGATGAAGACGTAGCCTCACTGAGGTCCCCGCCTTTGCATCAGGGATCGTGGGTCCGGGCACTTTGGGTTGCTACATCTGCGGAAAAGACCCCCTAACCCTCAGTAGTTCACTAGCCTCGAGCTTCTCCCTATCCCTGAGATCGACGCGCCGAAAGGCGAGGACAATCTCAGGGATGCACCCTCAGAAACCGAGGGAATCCCTATAGGATCGCCATCGTGACGAGGCGATGCCGAACATATGGATAGGGATATGTTCCAGGCTGGTAAGTCATGTCGCTGGGGGAGGAGGGGGAGGAGGAGGAGGGGGAGCAGGAGAGGAGGGGAAGGAGGGGAGAGGGGGACGAGTGAGGAGGAGGAGGAGGAGTAGGAGGAGGAGGGGGTGGGGAGGGGGAGGGGAGGAGGGAGGGGGAGGAGGAGGAGTGATGATTGAGGAGGAGGAGGAGAGCGGAGGCGGAGGAGGAGAGGAGAGGAGGAGGAGGAGGAGGAGGAGGAGGGAGGAGGCCCTCCTGACTTGGGCCCCCTCCCAAAGGGGGTGGGGCTCCTCCTGCTGCCGATCGCTCGTGGGCGAGCAGAGCGCAGCCGCGGCCGCGGCCCCGGGGGCCCGGGGCGCCCAGGCCGCGGCCCCGTGGGAGAACACGGGGCGCCCCTCCCGCGGGGCGCTCCCCCTCCCCGCGCGGAGAGCGCCCGCGTGCGACCGCACTCTGTGCGCGGGGCCGCGTCCCGGAATCCAGACCAGGAGGAGGAGGAGGAGGAGGAGGAGGAGGACGAGGAGGAGGACGAGGAGGAGGACGAGGAGGATGAGGAGGAGGAGGAGGAGGAGGAGGAGGAGGAGGAGGGCGAGGGCGTGGATACGGATGCGTTCGCCGGTCGTGACCCATAACTTGCGAGCTTCCACCCGAGGGCGCGCCCCGCGATCGTCGAAAGTCCTGTGGCTCCGCACAATCCCCGCCCCATTGGAAGGCGGGGAGGTATCCCCGGGGAGCACCGACGCCGACGCGGGCGTCACCCGCCGATAGACGCGAGGCGGGATTTCCGGGCCCCTTGGGGCCCAGGCGGCCTCGGCAGGCAGGGAGGGCGAGGCGGGCGGGGAGCTGCTCCCCCCAGACTTGGCATCGCTCGGACGTGTGCGTTTTTTCCTCGGCGAGGACCATCGAGGAGCATCCTCGATCATTTGGCGAAACACCACGCACGAAACCGAAAAAACACAGGGAATGGACGTCCGAGCGATGGCAAGCGGAAGCTTGGCAGCCCCGATCTGCCGTGTGGGGAAGCAGCGTTTCCCGCCGCGGCGGCGTCGGCTCTGGCTCCTGGCACCGCGTCGCCCGCCGCCTGCCCGACATCCGAAGTTCGCAGGCCTAGAGGTTTCGACACCAACACCAATATCGGCGGCGTGCCTCCACCTAGGGAAGAAGATCCCGACCTCGGCGATGGTGGTAATAGTATATGGCTTCCAAGGTGACCGAAGCATATTACCACTGGCATCGAAATCTAGGATCACCTTCCCCCTGTGGAGGCAGCCCCCCCTTGTGCGTTGACTTTAGGCTCGGGGAGGCTCGGGTCAGGGACCCATAATCATGACAGAAGGGGACGCCCGCGCGCGCTCGCAGGGACTGCGCGCATCAGAGCGCGCAATTGGATCGTGCGAGCAAAGCGCGTTGGCGACAGCGGTTGCTGTTGGTTTGTTTCTTGCTTGTGTGCTGCTTGATGGCCGGGCAGCGCGGAGAGCTCTTCATCGAAGAGTTCTTAGATTGGAGGGTCGATTCCTCCGAGCGCGAGTCCCTTTCTGCGCTCGTGCAGAGAGAGGGACTGGAGTCGGCTGGCGATTTAGCGCATTTGTTTTGCTCGACGGACGAGGCGGAGCAGTGTGGAGTGCCCACGGCCTGGGCCGTGGCTCGGGACGTGGCGCGGGTGACGCCGTGGCTGGTGCCCGCGCATGGCATTTGCGCGGAGGGGCGATTTGGCGGCGCGGCGGCGGCCGCCGCGCCCGCCGTGAGCGCGGGGGCCGCGGCGGGGAAAGGGCGTGGGCCTACCGCCGCGCGCCGCGGTCGGCCGAGACGCTGTGCCGCAGTGGCGACGGAGGCGGCAGAGCGTGAGGGGCGCGTTCAGCTGGCGGTCAGCGCAGTTCGAGTGTCGCTTGAATGGCGCCCGGAAAGCGGCCTCGGGCAGGGGTTGCAGGAGGCGCAGGCCGAGATGCTCGCCGACGTCTCGTCCGCGGCGGTGTTTAGGCTGAGTAATTTCGAATCCGGGACGCTGCGCACGGCCTTGCGCGTGTGGGGGCAGTGGGCCGAGTGGGCGGGCCGGCAAGGGCAGCCGGCGACGAGTCTGGCGCGGCAACCCATGGCAGTCGCCGAGTTCGTGCATAAGCTCTCGATCGCACGGACGTCCGGCGTCAGGATCTGGAACGCCTTGAAGTGGATGTGCGTACATTTGAAAGCGCCTTTCTGCCTGGACGATGCATTTCGCCCTGTGCCACGTGATGCAGGCAGTGGAACCGTAGCACCGCCGGTCCAGGCCACTGTCGTCGAACCCGAGATGATTTGCCATGTGATCGATTTCCTGGATGGCGCGAGAACGCCTGGGCAAGTCATGCTCGCGGCTGGGATGCTGGCGGTGGTTTTCGCGTGGGTGAGGTACACGCACCTGCTGCGCTCTAGGCCTTTAGAGAAGTCTGTTTATTTTTGCTGGTTCCGCGCATCGAGGGGGAAGCAGGGAAAGCGACAGGGGCGACCTTCGTTCGATTGGTGCTTGCCGAGGCGGCTAGGTGGCGCGCGGTCCGCCGCTGACGCCTTGTGGGATGGTTGGCACAAGTTGGCGGCGCGGGAAGATCGAGCAGGAAGGGCTGTGCCGACGGGGCTCGTCTTCGATCCAGTTTCCGGCGCGCCGGTGAAGTTGGGTGCCTTTAACCGATCGCTGAAGGAAGTATTCCGAGGCTCGCTAGCGGACGATTCCCAGTTGGATCTTGTGACTTCGTACAGTTTGCGCCGGGCTGGGCCTACATGGGCGAGCGCGATACAATTGGACTGGGAAGCCCGAGTCATCTCGGGCGGTTGGACGGAGGGGGGAGACAACTCCCGTCGGAACCAGATGCCGATCGTGTATAATGCGCGTCGGCGGCAAGCCGAGATGTGCACGCGCCTGCACATGGCCGGAGTGTTGTCGTGCCTGCGGACCGATCTGGAGGCCCCAGTGCAGTGGGAGCAAGTGCGATGCTGGGCGAGTTCTGCGCCAGGAAAAGTAACGTTGGCCGACCTAGAGAAAGAGGCGCAGCAGCGGGTGGCGGTGACGACCGTTCGTGAGAAGGCCGCGTTCTTGCCCCCGTCGGTCGTCGAGGAGTTGAGGCGGCAGAAGTTTCTCCGGATAATCGTGGCCCCGCGAGGACAGCGGGTGGGGCGCGGTAAAGCGCCGGGCGCGCCTCCACCCAAGTGTCGGGGTCCTGCCGACGGGGGCGCCGCGGGTAAGAGCGGTGAGGGGGGGGCGGGCGCCGAAGCGCCGGGCGCGCGTGCGCGCGCTGCGCAAACCCTCGCGTCGGGGGCACCGCGTGCAAAGCGGGGGGGGCGCGGTAAAGCGCCGGGCGGTTTGCGTGGGAACGCGTTGCCTGCGCCTGCGAGTCCACGCAGAGCGCCGAAAGTTGCCGGCAAAAACAAGCGACCAGCAGAGGCGGGAGCGCGCGCCAGTCCGGCGTCGGTTGCCATTGCGGGCCGCGCAGGGCGAACCGCGGGTCGATCGCGCGGCCCAGCGGTATTGTGCCCGGGCGTGGGCGGCATTGGAGGCTGTCTCCATCCCCAGGTCCAGGGGAGATGAAGTGTCGGTGCGGCCGGGAGACGCAACCCGTGCAGGCCCGGCCGCGTTCCAAGCGCGGGGAGTTGACTGCGCCGGTCGCGCGGTGACCGTGCTTCCAGGTGACGAGGCAGCGCAGGGCGCGGAGTTGGGTGAATGTGACGTAAAGGGCTCAGATGGCGCGCCAGCGCACTGCGCGCCGCCAGTCAGGCAGGTTGCGGAGGGATCACCCGCGCGCGCGTCGCGAGCCGTGGGCCCGTCGCCCGAGCCGCGGGGCGCGATCGGGTACGTGCAGTCTGAGCCTGGGAGGGCTACCCGGGTAAGGGAGGTTATGGGGCCTCGATATCACGTCGCGATGCCCGTAATTCGTCGCCTCAAAAAGTCCAGAGCCTGGACGGACAGTGAGTTCGGGCCAGTGACGAACCTATGTCAGAATGGATTGAGTGATCTGCAGTGGTTCCCGGCGCTCCCGGAGGGAGCCCTGGTGTGCGCGGCGTGTGAAAAGTTGCGCGGCCGGGCAGCCCCGGCGTGAGGTGGTGACGTCATCGCGGCGGAGACGCGCGGAGTTGCGCGTGGGCCTGCCAGCGAATGCCAACTTAACGGATGCGTATGCGCGCCCCGAAGTGGGCTCGAACGCGGTCCAGAGAGTAGGTTTAGCGGAGCGACACGTGTGGTTCTCGGTATGTCTTTGTCAGTTGACGGCATTGCGCTGCCGGGGCGCGTCGGCGCTCGCGACGCCGCTGCACAATTCAGGAGCTGGCCGCGAAGTATCAGTTTGATGAGCGCATCGCCACCCACCTGGTCGAAACCGTGGGTCTAGAGACGTTGGTCGATTTCGCGCATGCCGTCACGAGCGAGAACGAGTGGGCGCCGATCCTCGAGCGCGTGCCGGATCTCGAGAGGAGGCTGGGACAGCTGTCCCGCGTGCGCCAGGCGCGGCCTTCGCCTGCGCGGGGGGGGGTCCTGCCTGGCCCGCGCCGCAGTTCGAGCGCGTAGTGCGGCAGGCGTGGAAGCCGTGTGCGATGCCGCCCGGGAGTCCGAGACCCGGAAGAGGCGCGGTTTGGACGAGAGCGACGATGTCCCATTGCCGTCGCCGCAGCTCGCTGAATTGAGCGAGCAGTTCTTCGCTTGGTATAAGATGGCGTACCCAGCGGAGTGTGAGCCGTCCGAAGCGCTGGTCAGTAAGATCAGCAGGGAGCTGGGCAGGCGCGTCCCATTGCACGCGGAGGGGGTGACCGCGTCGCGCGCGCGGCCCCCCATGGTCGGCAGGCGCCAGGTGACGATGAGGAGTGTATGGAAGGTCCGCACGTTGCTGAATGCCGCGAGGGCTGCCAGGAAGCGGCAGCGCATTGGGGATGTCGAATTCGTGTGCGATGAGAAGGAAGATCCGGATCCCGCGACGGACTTGAAAACCTATATCGCGTTGCACCAGGTTCTCATGGTGGCATACGCGCGCGCTGGGGTGAAGCCGATTGACCCGGCGCCCGGGACGCCAGAGAAGGCGTCTTCGGATACGACGGATTTCGTGCAGATTCCGTTGGATGTCGCGATGGCCTTCCATTTCCGTTTGGTCAAGTACGGACGAAGTACGAACGCTCGCGAACGAACGCGAACTAGTACGTACGCGCCAGTGCGAATGGGCCAGTTCTCGGATTGCGGCATGCCTAACGTCCCGTTGCGGGATTCGGGAAGGGGGGTGTGGGGGGTGCGCGGTAGACCGGTGGGGGGGGGACGGAGGAGTGAGCGCCCAACGGGGTGGACAGGTTCCGCCCAGCGAGCTGAGCGTCGGGAAGATAATCTGCGAGGGCTTGCAGACTCGCGAGGTCATGTGGAGCCCGCCCTCACCGCCAGCTCCCGGGCCGCAGCGGCCGCCGACGAGCGTCGGGCGGAGCCAGCGGACAGGTGGCAAGGGCGCGCAGTGGGGCGATCGGTTGAAAGACGGAACCCAGGTGTGTCGCAAGTTCAACGCCGGGGAGTGCTCCGAGCCGTGCCCTCGCGGGTATAAGCACGTCTGTTCCGTCGTGATCAACAAGACGGGGCGCTTGTGTGGCATGTCGAACCACTGCGCCCTCAAGTGCACCAGGGGCCCGGGTCTCAGTTTTTGGTTTCCCTGCATGCTTAAAGGGGGCGGCCCGGGTCCGGGGGCGCCCTGGGTCCGGGAAAGGCGACGGTTAGCGCCGAATGTTCGGAACACCCGGCGTTGTAGTTTGCGACGCGAGGAACGCGAGCGGGGGCGCGGCCGACGGCGGCAAGCGCGGCCGCAAGGGCGATTGAAACGCACCCGCTGCCGCGCCGCCCGCCGCGGCAGAAGGGGCAGTCACCGGTGGGGTCGCGTGCCCCAGCGTCGTGGGCGCGCGATGGAGCCAGGCGGACATCGCTGTGAAAATTCGGAAGTCCTTTCCGGAAGAGCGGCTGGTGGGCGTTCCCATCCCGTTCTTGCAAGACTTGTTGAATACTTCGCCATTCGTTGATTTCGCCATCTGGGCGGAGCTGCAGGACGAAGGACTACCTTTGGGATGTTCTCTGGGCAGAAATTCCAAGGGGCGCGCGAGCGCCGTGTTGGGTCGCCAGACAGGCGTGCTCGACCACAGGCTAGCGCTGGCGCCGGTTATCGAACTCGGCGTGGGGGAGCGGGCACACCTCGCTCAATGCATCGAATTCGCGAGCGCGGGGCGATTGCCATTCGACGATGAGTATATGGCACCCGCTGATTTGAAGTATGCTGCCTTTGCCACGGTTGCGTTCGCGTGGGCCGGTGGTAACCGGCTGAGGCAGTGGCGCGAGTCTTGCGCCGGGGCGTTGAAGGAGCTTAGTCAAAGGCTGGCGCCGGTGTCCCGCGCCCTTCGGCTCTGGCAAAGCCCCTCAGTACATGCCGTGGCGCAGAACACCCACATCGCGCTGATTTGTGTTCTGACTTGGGTGATGGGTTGGCCGGATTGGCAGCTGGCCCAGAGATTTGTGACCGGCTTCAATATCGTGGGGCGATTGGAGGAGACGGGTGTCTGGGAGCGGTGCGAAGGTTCGGAACCTGTTTCTGAAGACCGCTTGTTGGCGGAGTCCACCGCGCTTTTACGTTCCAGGGACAAGCGACGGGTTGATCCTGAGGCTGAGTTTCTTTGGGAATCATGCTTGAAGGAATGCGAGAAGGGCTGGGCTGCTCCTCCGGCGTCGCTGGCCGCGATGGACCGCGGGTACGGCGCCGGGCGCTGGGCGGCCGTGCCGTCGTTCGTGCACGCGCAGCAGAACGGCAAGCGTCGGCTGATAGATGACGCCAAAGCCGGTGGGCAGAACGGCGCGACGGTGTACCCTGAGAAGTGGCACTTGCCATCAGCGTTCACGCCTGCATTGCATGGCAAAGTCTTGAGGCAGCGGTCGGGAGGTACGCCAAACACCGGAGGTGGCCTTTTCCCCCTCCCCGCCGGCCGGTGTGTCGCGGGTCTCCCGCGGGCCGTTCCCCCGGGTCCGTTCGTGTGGGCCTAGTGGGCCCCTCCGGTGTCCAAGGGGCGTGGTCCGGCCCGGTGTTTGGCGTGCGCCCTCAGGCAGGAAGCTGCGGCGGGAGGCTTTGCCGACGAGGGCTTAACCCTTGAGGCTGGAGGCGAGGACCTGCCGGACGCATACAGGTCCGTGCCGGTCAATCCCGCGCAGCTGCGATATAACGTCATTGCGGCGCGGGAACCGCGCAGCGGGGAGTGGCGATACTTGACTGCATTCGCCATGCTGTTCGGCTTGTCGTCGAGTGTTATGAATTTCATGCGGTGGTCTGCCTTTCTGGAAGCCGCTGCTAGGCGCGTGGCGGCATTGTTGCACACAATGCATGTCGATGATGGCAGTCTTGGGACCTCGGATTGGCGAAAGGCTCGGGACAGGCTTTACTCGACGTCTTGTTTTCGGAGTTGGGTACCCCGAATGCCAGCGCGAAGCAGCAGCGCATGGCCGCCACTGGGGCATTCTTGGGAGTCGATCACGACGTGTCTCGGGATTTTGAAGGCAGAGGGGTGGTCTCCTTTTGGCCGAAGGCCAGCATGATTGACAAAATCAAAGGCCTGCTCGCGGAGCACCGTGCGCGGAACAGCCTGACACCAGCGGAGGCCTCGAAGCTCCGGGGCATTCTGCAGTGGTCGTCCTCCGCGATGTTCATCGGCGTCGGCAGCGCCGCGATGGCGCCGCTGAAGCAGAGGCAGTACACTGACGCGCCTCCGTGGGCGTTATCCCACGCGATTCGGCGGTGCTTCGATTACTTCGAATTTGTCATAGACCTTGCCCCGAAGAGAAGCGTCGACGTGAGCCCGCCCTCGTGTCCGCTGATTGCGATCGCAAGCGACGCGCGGGCTGACGGGGCGACCGCGCCCACAGGCGGCTACCTCCTGGTCGATTGCTTGACAGGGGAGCGCGTGGGAGGATGGTGTGTATTCGACGATGCCATACTCGCGGAGTGGGGTTTCTCGCCGGCGGACCGGGAGAGGGGCGCGAATCCGATCGCCCTCTGTGAGGGGGCCATGGTCCCCTTTGTCCTGGCGCAAGAGGCGCGGAGGTGCGGAAGGGAGCCGCAGGGAGGCGCATTCTGTTGGGCCCCCAGACAACCCGGAGCGCTTCGGGCGGCTTTCCGTGAGTGGCAGGTAGCGGACTCATGCTACCCGGACCGGTCTCGTGGTCAAGCGTTGCTTTGCTGTTAAGGCGCGCTCGCTCGCGAGGATGCAACATCGCTGGGGGGACGCGCCGTGCAGCGTGTCGCGCCAGTTCCACTGCGACATGTCCACTTGGCTCGAATGGGTAGACTCGAAAAGCAACTGGTCGGACGGGATCTCACGGCGCGCCGTACGCGCGCGGGGGCGGCCTTCCCCCGAGTCGTCCACTCGCGCGGTGCCAGGCGGCTCGGCGAGGATAGCTTCGCCCGGGAGAATGGTTTTCGTACCGGCGAGGTGAGAGTGGACCCGGCCGCGTGGCGCGGGTGCTTACTAGACGCGTGGCGTTGGGTGCTACGGCGCGCGGAAGGCGCGTTCCGCGAGGGCAATTCGCGGGGGGTGGGCCGCGGCGTGCAGCGTGCCGCGCCAGGCTCAGTGGATTCGCCGTAAAGCAGGAGTCCGCGCAGGAGAGGTGAGCGCGGGCCCAGCCGCGGGGCACGGGCATGCCTCAGACACGGGGCGCCGTGTACATCGACGCGCGATTGCGGAGCGGCGTCGGACCCAGAACAGCGTTGGGGGTGCTGAAACGCGGAGCCAGAGCAGCGTTGGGGAGAGCGGCATTACTGGCGAGCCACGCCAGGGTCTTGCCTTCTTCACGCAGGTGTTCCATTCGGGGGGTTTGGTCACCCCAAGGTCGTTCTGCACCCCCGGAGCACCGTTGCACTT